CTTTGAGTTAAAGCTATGTTTTCAAAGAAGTCCAGGACCTATGGAGATAACTGTCACATAAAACCCATTGTCGGGACATATTATATAATTAACTAGGCGTATTAGCTGAACCCTGATCACCCTCTGCACGACCTTGTTCCCCCTGAACGTGCAACGGCTACAGGGAGACAGCTTAGGAACAGCAACACGTTCACTCTGCCCAAGGCGAGGACCCTGCGCCTGAAACAGTCCTTCATTCACTGCGCAGTAAGACTCTTCAATGCCAGTGACAATGGCTGATACATGTATCTGAAAACCTATGCCTGCTATTTGCATGCATATAGCAGAGTGAATGGTGTTTGTACATATTTGTATATAGTGTGTTTTTCTGTGTACCTGTCCTGTCTTGGTTTTTTAACTTATTGTAAAAATCAGTTACGCAATTCAGTGAGGCATGCAGCATTCCCTGCTTTTGTATGATTTTGTTGATTGAATAATAAACTGTAAACTGTAAATATGTACGACATAGTTGACCTGTAGAATCGTCAGAACAAGAAGTGCAAAAGATGTTGAAAAATGTTCAACCGTCTATCCTGCCTGGCCAATCTCAGTGTGTCCAATATCTGAAACTTTCCACACCTGCCAGAACTTATCAGATGCACGTATTGATGTTGACTTACGTATGACGTCAGACATGTCCTAGCGGACGTTGACCGGACACGTAACTCCACATCAACCTCCAGCCTTATTTGGTCATGCTCTGGACCCACCTACCATGTCTACAGAGATGAGAAACACTTTATTTATAATTACATGAAAATGAAACCAACCATAAAGGAAATTTCAAAGCTTTTAAATGCAAATTCTTAATGGGGATAATAAAACTGACTATTGGTAATTCAGGGAAATTTTAATAAAATTGTGATAACATAAAAACACAAGCTTTGTCATTACATATAAAATCACAGAGAATTGAGATTAGAAAAGGGAAAGGGTAGAGAAAATTTTCAACATAAAATCATGACAGGGTGAAGGTTTAGTTAGAGCTTTGTAAGTGACAGTCTGCTGACAGTCTTGTGATGTTTGAGGTTTGAAGTCCACAAGTTATTTTTGCCGTTTGGTGCAAACAAGTCTGCCCACCTGGAGGTTTTATCACCATTTTGAGTGACAGGTATTACAAAACAGTTTTCCTCACCATGGTAACGGCCTGATGTGACAGGCGGGTTCTATAGCTGAGTCCTGGCGCTGGAGTCAGTTCGGCGGGGCTCCGGCCCCGGGCCGGCGGACTGAACAGGGACGTGTTCTTACGGATGTTTGAGTGGATTTTCTGTTACCACCCGGGCTCCAACTGAGCTGGATACTATTGAGTACTAATAGGATTTCAGTTTTGAGTAAGAATCCATGACTTTTTCTTGTGGTTTTCCTGCTAAAAACTCGCGAAAACGGCAAGAGAATAACGAGACCATTCCGACAGGATTAACTACTACCCGACGTGTATTACGCGTTCAGTGAACGTTTTTTCCCTATCGAGATATCATCCTGAGAGACTGTAGACTTTGTGAAGCTTTCTCAACTCAACTGACATCTTTCTGACTGCATCAAATAGAAGGTAAGTCCTGATAATTCACATAAATACAATCATCAGATCTGTACATATGTCTTACATAATATTATTATATGTATTATTTTGTGTACTAAATAGCAATGTCCCATACGATTGCATTAGGACGTACGCAGGGGCAGGTCGTATAAATTATATGAACCAATTAATGCAATATTTGTACTTTGTCAACAAGAAGTTAGCCTGGTGTTCAGTCTATCGTCGTTAGAGTGTGGGATGTATCTTCGGGGCTACGGGAGCTCTTCGCCGCCCGACTCAGCTAGGTTCCCCGGGGCCAATCAACTCATGGCGAGCAAAACTCCATTAGCAAAGGCCATAAAGGCGTAACACTCACCCGGCGGCCAGTTGAGCTTGAAGGGGAGGGGGTAGAGATGCCTTTTAACTTGGCTCAGCCGTCTGATTAGTGTTGACTTCTCATGAAGTCAATGTATCAGAATACATGTAGTTGCTATGGACTCTCAGCTAAAAGCGTTGATGCGCCGCATGTTGAAATTGATTGGTTAGACCAGGCATGCATTATTGAGCTGTTATACCGTTATCAACCTTCTCGTTCCCGGTATCTCAAGTTTAAAACCAAAGGAAACCATTTTCCTTCTGGCATTGTATCATTGTCACGTGCACGTGTTTATCTCGCAGACACTACATATGCAGAGAAATCCCAAAAGTCAGTATAACTCGTAGTCTAAACTTGAATGATCACTTACAGGTGACATTATTTGACGATAACAGTAGCCAGGGTAGAAGTCTTTGGTATGATGTTAACGAAAATGATGCATCGTGGTGCACATACACAGGTGACAATGGTACACAACCATTCATAGGGGCCTGCAAGCCCTTTTTCGTAAGGCGTAATCAGGCCGTTTTAGACTTCGTAATTCGTAGGCAGCCTCCGCAAAAATCAACGTAATTCGTAATTGGACATTAGCCGCAAATCGTAAAGTTGTAATCAGCTCTGAGACTTTAACGTAATTCGTAACAGGCGGCGAAAATTTTGCGTAATTCGTAACCACTACCCCCCATTGCAGGCCCTCATTCATTTGAACAGAATAGCGCCGGTTTTGTAATATCATCTTAATCATGTTAATACAACGCTGTCCATGTTCTCGTGATGTTTGAGGTTTGAAGTCCATCGGTGTTTTTGCCGTTTGGTGCAAACAGGTCTATGTGTTATCAGCTACTTGAGTATTCGTCTCCATGGTGATAATCTCTTGTGACAAGCCTAAAATGGCTCCCTGTTGTCATATTGGAGCTGATGAAAAATTCCTTTGGATTTTTCAAAATCAACATACTTTCCAATTGTGAACGACCGTGTCCAACATACACTACTGATGTCTGTTGTCATCGGAAGATATTACACGTCTTCCTTTTCATGTTTAGGCCCATCTGTACACCGCGATAAGTCTACATCTAATATTGTCCCCAAATTCATAGGCAGTACAAATCATCAGAGATGGCGGAGACGTAGACAAATATAACTGTGCAATAGTACGTACCATGCCTATTATGCCAACCCAACCCAAGGCGTACCTGTGTATAAAATGTAATGTACTTGTTAACCTCTATGTAGACTTACGTTTGTCAGCTTTTGCTGCCTGTAAGTCTGTGTAATGTATTGTTTGCATTTGAAACAAATAAATGAATAAGTTTGGTTAGTTCTCTGATTGACAGGTGTGTAAACAACAGTTTTCCTCACCATGGCAACAGACTCGTGACAGGCCGGTTGTATACAAATGTACATGTAGTAGAGCCATTCGCCTACTATTGCCATACATTCGTGTGGCTGATAACGATCTAAATTTTATGTTGCTGACCCATAGCTATAGCAAAGGTCAATGACTAGCGAGTAAGATGTTTGTGTACATTTAGAGCTAATGTTTAAGTAGGGTTTCCCAATAAGATACTGGGTGATGTTATAACCTGTGCGCACTTGTAGCTTGTCAGTTCTTTGCAGACAGGGAATACATTGTGTATAACATGGCACTACCACTAATATTCTAAAGCATGCTATTCTCAGATACATGTATCGGTCTCGTTAAAACAGTGTACATGAAGTCTGTTACTAGTGGAAGAGTAGGTAGACTTTCATTTAAGTCCACTGAGATCACCTTTACTTGCTTTTACTTTCACCATACTTTCTTATTTTTTCATTTGCATGGGGATAAAAAAAAATATGCACAACATCAACATAATACAAAGCAGTGTATTATTATACACATTACACGTGGTTGATATTGCAAAAACATCTCATGACACATATTTGGGCTTTCCTTGCAGAAATATCAGGAATATCATCATGGCTTCACCACAAAGCTTTAGAGCAAAACTACAACCTACTAAATGGTACATCATGGGGAAAACGACAACTCTTTTGACATTAGATTTGTCTAACCAAGACCTCAGCCAGTTACCAGATGAACTTTTTGAATTAACTGAGTTGGAGGCTTTGGAGTTAGGAATGAACAAGGGCATTAGACTCTCTGACAATCTCATCGGATTGCCCAATCTAAAAGTGTTGTCATTATATGAATGTAATCTTGACACAGTTCCTGCTGTCGTCATGAAGCTTGAGCAGTTGGAAGTACTTGATCTTAGTAATAACGAGAATATAACCCTGCCTGATGAGATGTGTAGTCTCATCAACCTCTCTGTCCTGAACCTGGGGAACTGCAACCTTCCGTCAGTTCCCGCTGCCGTGACGAAACTTCCACAGTTGAACAGATTGCGCCTCTGTAACAACAAGAAGATCAAACTGCCAGATGAGATGTCCAGTCTCGTCAATCTCACCCACCTGGAGTTATATAACTGTGACCTGGACACGTTCCCGCCTGTAGTGCTAAAACTGTCAAACCTACAGGAACTGGATTTTTTAAGTTATAATCAGATCTCCTTGCCAGATGAGTTGTACAAGTTACAGAACATAAAAGTATTGAGACTAAGTGATACTAACCTGGCGACGGTTCCGCCAGCAGTACTGAAACTCACCCAGCTGGAGGAACTGGACCTCCGCTGGAACAGCGGGATCCACCTGCCGGATGAGCTGTCTGCACTCACCAACATCCGGGTACTGAAACTAAGGGGAACATACATGGTCACAGTTCCTCCGGTAGTGTGGACATTGACAAAATTGGAGTGGCTGGACTTGGACTCTAACCCATTACAGACATTACCAGCGGGAATTGGACAGATAACAAGCATCAAACACTTGGATCTGTTCGACTGCAAGCTGCGCACACTCCCATCTGAAATATGGAGGCTGACACAGTTAGAATGGCTGAACCTGAGATCTAACCCACTACAGGCGTTACCCACGGAAATCGGGCAACTCACCAACATTAAACACTTGGATCTGTCTAAATGCGAGCTGCACACACTCCCATCTGAAGTGGGGAGACTGACACAGTTAGAATGGCTGGACCTGAGATCTAACCCACTCCAGAAGTTACCCGCGGAAATCGGACAACTCACCAACATGAAACACTTGGATCTGGATAACTGCGAACTGCGCACACTCCCATCTGAAGTGGGGAGACTGACACAGTTAGAAAGGCTGGACCTGAGCTCTAACCCACTCCAGAAGTTACCCGCGGAAATCGGACAACTCACCAACATGAAACACTTGGATCTGGATAACTGCGAACTGCGCACACTCCCATCTGAAGTGGGAAGACTGACACAGTTAGGACGGCTGGACCTGAGATCTAACCCACTCCAGAAGTTACCCGCGGAAATCGGACAACTCACCAACATTAAACACTTGGATCTGGATAACTGCGAACTGCGCACACTCCCATCTGAAGTGGGGAGACTGACACAGTTAGGACGGCTGGACCTGAGTTTGAATTCACTTGACGCTTTACCTGTGGAAATTGCACAGCTTACAAACGTATCTTACATTGACGTCAGTCGAAACCCACTCATAAAACCACCAGCTGAAGTTTGTCGCCAGGGGATCAATGCAATCAGACTGTACTTCGACGAACTTGAACACTCAGAGGAAGAAGTATCCGCTCGTTTGAAAGTTGTAGTTTTAGGAAAGAAGATGGCGGGAAAAACAAGTTTGGTACAAACGCTAAACAGGGGCCAGTCCAGCCTGACAGAAAATGAGGACCGCACACACTGTGTAGAGATAACTCAGTGGGCACCTGAAGACAATATCACTTTTGAAGTGTACGACTTTGGTGGACATGACGTGTACCATCTCACTCATCAGTTCTTCTTGACACAAAGCGCCCTGAATCTACTGACAGTAAATCTTCATGAATACAGGTGTACTGAACAGAGTTACACGGAAGCTGTGGGGTTTTGGTTGGACACACTGAACGCCCGCGTGCCGGGGGCGGTGGTTACATTAGTGTGTAGTAAGACGGACATGTGCAGCGATACAGAAATAGAGGAGAAAACCAGGGACATTCAAGTAAGATTCTCACAGCAACATGACTTGTGGAAACGTACCATACAACAACAAATGAAGAAGTTGGAAAGTAACAGGGCGACCAATGAAGGGACCGATCAGGGGGAAATAGAACGACAGTTAGAACGTACCCGGGATCTCCTGACACGCCCGCTGCGGCTCACAGGTGCGTACTGCGTCAGTTCGGCAGAACCAACATCTGGTTTAGACAAACTAAAGAGTCACATACTGAAAACAGCAAATAATACATCACTGTTTCCATCACTCCGAAGGATCCTCCCGCGGACATGGGTGGAGTTTGATCAGCACCTGCGCGACATGCGTGGCAATGGTACTGAGGAATATCAATCTGCAAGATCAACTTCTCAAGTTGGCCCCGTTCAGAGTATCAAGTCTAAATGGCTCACGCGGGAAGAATGTCTTCAGCAAGGGCAGCTGGCAGGTCTCACGGCAGACAGACTAGAGCCAGTCCTATCTTACCTGCAGCAGGTGGGAACCATCCTCAGGTACACGGACATACCGGAACTCAAGGATCTAGTATTTCATGATCCATCAGGATTGATAGACGTCATGAAAGAGCTGTTTCATCACGACCTGAAGAAGGTTTTTACCAAAAAAAATCCACGTCTCAAGGGCTTCTCGAATACATACCTGAAAAAGATTCAGAAAAACCTGTGGAGCCAAGGCTTTCTGCCGAGAGAAGTGGTTATCGCCTTGTTAGGACCACACGCCACACCAGTAGGAAACGTGGATGTGATCACTAAACTGATGGAACATTTTGGCTTGTGCTACACGGAATGGTCAGATGAACAGAACGGAGAGACCTCAATACGAGTTGGATACTACATCCCATGGTACATAAAGGAGGAAAGACCCGGGACCATTAACAGGAATGTCACAGGGCAGGAATTTATTGTAACGTGTGAGATTGCCCATTTTTGCCCACGGGGATTGTTTGAGCGATTGAGCGTTGTTATCAACAAACTGATCAAGTCCCGACAGGACTGGAAAGACTTAGTCAAGGCTGTGACAGATAGTTTCCCCGTGATTGTTTACCGCGAGAAGAAAGACGAACATGTCAACATTGTAGTGAGGCTCATTGTTCCAGCCCAAGCAGTCCAGGGAACACAAGTAATTTGGCACGTCATCGGACCTCTGAAAGACAAACTATCTACACTTCTGAAGGAGTGGCCCGGACTGCTCTACCGCCTGGTGTATTCCACGTTTACTCAGCAAGCTAAACATAAAGGTGAGTAACTCTCTTCTCAAATTACACTTTCTGTACATTGTTATTCCATGGAGGTAAACATGGTTATTCTAAGTGACTTATTGAAGATTTAAGTTACATTTGTAGCGAGCTTATGATCTTAATGATAGTAAGAGTGAAATTTTGCAATATTTATTTTTAGAATTTAGCGCTAGTATCGATGCTTTAAATGTGCAATTCTTTCCTCGACGTACCAGGGGACCAGCAGACCTTGTCAGTCGCGTCCATCATCCCCACGTTTGAAGTAGGACCGCTGGGCTGTACTGTTCAGCACGGCGGTGTGACGTTGGAGTTTCCCGCAGGCTGTGTTAGAGACACACGGTTCATCTCTGTCGAGGTAAATGTTGTCATTGACAACTCATTTCATCAGTCACATGTGTTACATCTTTAATTCTTTTTAAAATTCTCTCTGTATTTTGCTTTTCTTGTCATTGCAAGTCTTGCATGATCATTCTAAAACACATCCACAGGTTGAAGCCGTGCCAGTTACCGAGGACGTCCGGAGCAACTTCACGGCCATGTCCGCCGTCCTGACTGTGGAGCAGGACTTCCCACAGCGGTTCCTCCGGCCCGTCACCGTCAGGCTGTCCTGGGCATGGACTCAATCAGTGGTGGGGAAGGAAACAACAACAGTGGTTCTACACTACGGCCGAGACGACGAATGGACGTTCTTCCAAACAGACGCTCACCAGGAGGATGGTGGTATCATGTTTCAGACTGATCACTTTCAAAGGTATGTATGTTTATGAGTTTGTGGCTCCTTTTATTTATTACGTTCATGCAATAACGTTTCTACTTTTCTTCATACCATTGTAGTCCATCCGTTCGCTGGCTGACCTATGAATTATTTGCCAACAATATGAATGCTCAGTTTTTCTGATTAGTCTCCTATGATTTCACTTCAGCTATTGGGTGCTGGAAGTTCTTCGGCACCGCAGCAAAGACATTATTAGCTGGGTACAGCGGACTTGGAGTGACTACATTGAAGATAAATCCTACATCATCGTCACACCACTGGAGACAGAAAGACTTTTGCACCTCATCTGTTTGTACAAATCTGACAACTTGACTGACTTGTTCGAATCGCCAGGCGTAAGATTTGACTCTCGAACAAAGCGGAGGGTCACCTTGAAACAGGGTCAGTGGGTCGAAGCAACTTTCTGTCAACATGAAGACGTCGATATTCATCCCCTGGACCTTCCTATTCACCTATCTCCGGATCCACCGACAACTCGGACGGTAAGGCTGGTGGTGCGGGAATCAGTGCCGATAAAGGATGTTTACAACGGGAAAGTCGAGTTTGTAACCAAAGGATCATCCAACCTGGACAGTAAGGGAGGGAGGCAACAGTTCGAAGCATTTGTGCAGCTGCAGCAGCGGCAACAAGGTAAGATAGTGCGTCTTGTTATTTTTAGAATGACCATATATAGTCTGAAGATATACTCAATCTAAAGAAAATTAGAATATTGGACATTTACACGTTGAGACGATGTGTTTGAACGCTTCAACGCACAACCCGCGCTTTATGGTTGATTTACATTCATATTAGACGTGCAACCATCTTTACATTTTTCTTTCCACTTGTTGTTTAGTGGTGATAACAGAGGCGTCTGAGAAAGAAAATGAGCGTCCGGACTTGTTCGAACGTCATGAGAACACAGGTTTGTAAAATCATATTTTGACGAAAACTGTTCTTTCAAAATTACCACTTCTGTATTTGGTAGACATGTGCCAAGTTATGTTTCAATTTTAGCATTGGTAAGCTGTTTTTTTTCTTAAATACTATTTCCAGAGTTGAGTGAGCGCACTCAATCATATGAACAGCATCAGGCGAGACCAGACCAGCCTCCGCCCAGGATACGACGACACACTTCTGTTATTCCAAGCTCCCTTGCCATTTCATTGATTGTCGTGATATTTGGCGTTCTGTGCCAGTTCTACTTTGGGGTCCACATAACCGGCTTCTTTGGACTTCCGGGCGGCATAAAGGAAGGTACGTATCTAATACTGTAAAGTTAACCTTACTGTCACCATATCAGCATTTTGCAACTTTTATTCTATCCAAATAAATGGGAAAACCGTATATTGTTGATGAATATTTAGAAGAATCATTGTTAGCGACCTTAGTAATTATTAATGTCATAATGTTTTTTGAAAATAACATTGCCGTTTTTCTGTAACGTTGTCATCCACTTTGACGTCTGGGATATCTCATGATTTTATACATGATTGTACCATTCAGCACCAGTACATGCTAACACGCTATACTACACTACCCGCCAACACATTGCCATTGTTAAAGCGGAATAAGATTTATAACACTTAAGTGGTGGAAAATGGAAGTGACCAAATGAATAAAAAGCTTGCCTTTCCTTTTTTCATAGCTGGCGTTCAACACACGTCGTATTCTGGCAAGCCTGTTGTGCTACTTGTCAATGATGAATATGGTACTTCTAAGGGTGGAATCTCCACAATAAATCGCCAGTTGGCAAAATTAATAAGTTCGTCAGGAGGGGAGGTTCTTTGTACTGTTTTAAATACCTCCGAAGAGGACACATCTGATGCAAAGGTTGATGGAGTGGAGTTGGTACTTCCAACAAGCTTTAAAACGGACAGAAGACAACCGACTCTTGACTGGCTCACATTCGACCATAGGACTCGATATCCGAACCTTCCACCAGATATAACGCACATCATAGGCCATGCTAGTATCACTGGCAGAGCGGCAAGAAACATCAGAGAACAGCGATACCCTGCCGCCAAGTTGATACTCTTCAACCACGTCATCCCAGAAGACACAGAACACTACAAGAGCGAGAGTAGAGTACTGGGCATCGAAGAGAAAATCGACTTGATCCGGACAGACACGGAACATGCCGATGTCGTATTTTCAGTTGGCCCGAACCTGTATGATTACTACAAAAACGAGATCAGAGTTTCAAAGCCACATTACGAGTTCCTTCCTAGTCCGTTTGACATCTTTAGCCAGATGAATCCGACCTATGTCGAAACAGAAACCAAAGTGGTGTTGTCCATAGGTAGGGTAAAGGGTGCCGAGAGACTGAAAGGCTACGATCTTGCCGCGAAGGCCATGAGTATGGTAATAGGCAGATTCCCTAAGGCAAGATGGCGAGTCCGAGGTGTCAGCGCTGAGGACTTCCCAGAAAGTAAGGAAATAATCGAAGCAAACATTGCGAAGGGTACTTTTCACTTCACTCCTCTGAAGTACGGCACACAGAAACAGCTGAGCAGAGACTTCAAAGAGGCTCATGTCGTCCTGATGCCGTCACGCGCAGAGCCCTTCGGACTGGTCGGTCTGGAGGCCATCGCGGCAGGTGTGCCAACAATCGTTTCCGACCAATCAGGGCTTGCAAAGTTCCTGAAGGCTCAAGATGACGTCATATTTGACCGTCCGATTGTAAAAATCAAAGGGAACGATGAGGAAGACGCTATAAGACTGGCCAACCGCATCGTGGAGATACTGGAGAATGGAAGTAAGGAGTTTAAGGCTGCCAAAGAACTCAAACAGAAACTACTGGCGTCAAAGTACTGGGAAGAGTCGCACAGAAAGTTCCTTGAAGAATGCGGCATTCAGAAGTGACAATATTCTTCATACATGTATATACCTTTAGTAACTTTTTCTTTTTGACATTGGAAGTCAGATTGACCATTCCTCTCAGTGCATGAGGACTGATTTACCTGATAATGATCTAACCTTTAATCACTTAGGGTGGCCTTGGAAATGTTGAATGAATGTAACAAAACCTATAAAAACAACGTACTAGTGCTACAGGCTAGTGTCAGTAAGCTAGTGCGTAACAACATGAATTGAGAAAGAAACGTCCAATAAGTCCAATCTTACCTAGGAATTTTGTCCGTTTTCCCTTTTTGTTGTTTTCCAATCTTATTCGTACTTTTGAATGATATGTACATCATAAATTTGCCATAGTTGTGATTAAACACATTTGGCTGAAACATCTGTGTTTTGTTGCTTACTAAAGGTACTTGACATAACATATCAACTAGTCTTGAATAATTGTCTACGACATACGGCAAAATCGTTACGGAAAACTCTCCATCGTAAGGGCGTTTTCAAACGGCCATACAGTAGCCTCTACCAGGCTTCGGGAGACGGCTGGAAAGAGTAGAAATCGGTCAAACAGAGAGATAACATGCCGAGGGAGTTGGTCTGCTAGAGAGAACATTTTGCCGCACCCATGTTATCTCTCTATTTGGCCGATTTCTACTCTTTCCAGCCGTCTCCCGAAGCCCGGTAGAGGCTAACCATACAGTACAATGCAGCAACATTTCTGACATTCCTACCACCAGAACACTTGGTGACTGAGTGAGTCATGGATTGTGCTGGGCTGGGCTAAGAGACGTTTTGACCGTAAGTCCACTGACAGGCTAACCCTCGTGAGGCAGGGCGCGTCACTATGTTGGGCGTGTTGGCAAAGCAAATTATCTCATGTCAAAAACCTCGCTAAGTTTACTCAATGGGCCACTCCGTTGTCGATGTAAACAACCATCTGATTGGGTAAGATTGCGTGCGATATGAAAACATTGAGTGAATGGACGAATGAAACTCGAGCTGCCATGCAGCGCTGTGAAGATTGACAGGGTGTGGTGCAGTATAAGAGCCAGGTGTATCAACTGAGCACACCTGTCTCATCGTTGCTGTGAATACCAGGAGGAACTTCAGCGCCTGCTCGGACCAAGACAGTAGTTCTGTCACTCTCATCCATTCTTTACAGGTACGTCATTTGTCTTATAATTAGAAAACTACGATATACAAAATAGTTTTCTACTTCATACTTTGGTCCAGGAGGGTAGGTTCTTAGATCTACGTTATTTTTTGCTAAACGAAGATCTGGAATACACGAACAGCCACTTTGTGTTCTGTTTATGAAAAAAATTTAAAGTAACCACCAGCCATTGCTTCTAATACTGAGATAGTCACTGGACACTCGAGTTCCTTGTCGGAAAAAGGTATACGATTGAAAAGGCGAGTATCATGATGTAGCTTGCATTATTACATGTGTCTATAAGTAAGTATTACCAAACTGAGCAGGCAGTTTGAAGACATAATGCTATAGACAAATAATGTCACTGGTGAACAACCAATGGCTTTCACCTGCCTGAACGTGTTGGCAGTCTGTCTTCAATCTTCCTCAGAGTAATACTGACTAGCTACATGTAGCTAACTGTGGCTACTGTGGGGATGGGACAACCTTTGGTCGTAAAAGAAGACTTCCCCAGCCATTGACCACTGACACTGACCTGATGAAACTAGTCCCTACAGTGTTTGTAACAATGTTTGGTATCATGGCCATAGCAATAGTGATGGATGTAGAAGGGCACGCTACGTTGAGTCTGGATAAAAAGCCCACAGTACGGTCCGTTTGGTTTTAAAGAGTTTATGTGTCCATTTTCGTTATGCGCCACATGTAATGAGCAAACGGTGTGGAATCTTGTAGTACAGATTTAAAGACGAAAGTTCTCAACGAGCCATTAAAATGATCAAACAAAACCTATCCGCTCAAGTTGACTTTAAAGCTCTTCTCACGTAATCCTGGGTGTGGACAGGCAAAAGTGGGCGCTTCTGCATGCCTTTCTTTGTATGTACGTGTACATATTCCTCCAAAAGCACCCCGATACTATTTTCATTGCTTTATCCGACTAACAAATAATAGTATATCAAATCAGAGCAATTTAACTTGCTAAATTAAGAGCGCTGTAAGCATGTTTACAGCTAAAGTTACACCCCATTTAAAGTTACACCATAGTGTAACTTTAAATGTTATCCTAAACATTGTCAAGTCCGTGTTCACATTAAAGGAATTAAGGGAACAAAATCCATATTTCAAGTTATCAATTCTAACTGACTGTGTTGAAATACATACATACATACTTACATGTATTATACATGCAAGTAAAATATGTACTTCCATGGCATACTGGATTGGTAGTCTTCAGAGGAAAACACAATTTTAACAAAACTTCGACGATATCGAGGTGATCGAGGGGACAGAAGACTCATAACATAACGTCTGATCTTTAACCCTAACATGCACACTGCCCTTAAAGTAAATACCTGTGTATGTTCTTTGCATCCGTGTTGGTTCGGAGAAGATAAAAGGTATTATTCTAAAGTATCCTAAGGCCTGTCACAAACAGGGTGTGGATAAGGTAAGTACTTAATGTACCCGTGTGTAGGGAAGGCGCGGCAATGTTTGAACATCTGGCAGTTACACCCAACATGACGTCATGGCATGACCTTTCGGCCAACACTGTGCTTTTAGTTTACCATAGAGAATTTGACCTTTATTCTTTCATACATTCCGACAGGATATAAGGCTAAATGACGCTATTTGACAGCAGGCCTGGAGTATTATATTATGTTGACTAGAACCAGAAAAGTCCGGCAAACTAGTGGTATACTGTGCTAGAAAGACTTTTAGTTCTTTTCAGATTTTAGTATGAGTTCATGCGCAATACATTTCCGTCTTAGCACAGTTACATGGGAGTAGGATTTAGTCTATATAATAAAATGCAATCTTTTAATACCGGCAATGGCAAATGAACGTAAAGGGTGTTTGAATAACTTGTTTTCGTGCTTCAAGACTAGATACCAAGCCAAAATGCTGAAGAAAAGTTGCTGTTGTTCGTTACGGGCGGGAGCCGTGACCGCTGGAGTCCTTCTGTCGGTGAGTAGTATTTTGTTGTTATAAGCATGGCCAAGCTGCATGCTACGTCACACATTGAGTTCCGAGTGCGTCTTGCTAAAGTCTAAGTTTAATGCTTTTTAATGCTTTTGCCATCAGCGGATGCATCAGTGCTTTGTTTTGTTTTGTTTCCATACATGATATTTTGGAGTGAGGCTAACCAATCAAAAATAGTAATGTCTATTTTGTGTTCTCCCTACTTTTCTAACCTCGAAAAGTCTCAAACTGGTAAAACTTTCTGATCATTCCTACAGATCTTGTCCTTGGCAGAAGTCGGTTTTGAGCTGTGGCTGTTGTTGTCTGGCCGGTCTGTAGACATCAGTAAGTTGAACCATTATGTTAATGCGATAGTCCACCTACACATGAATGACTGTGTACTCAATGTGTATCTGTGTTCAGTAGCCGAAAAATACGTTCATTACTGTGTTGGCCAAAGTTTCACAAAGGACTCGAAATCGTTTGATTCTGACTTCAGAATATGATCATTCACTTTCATGATGCTCTCTAAGTTTCTCCATTAAACTTTAAAGGTGTGGCCTATGGACCTTTATGGGTAGCCGTCACCTAATCTCCAAGCAGACCTTTTGCTGGGGGTAAGACAGTATCAAATTGGCCAGTCTGTATCCATTTCTTACCCCCACCAAAAGATCTGCTTGGAGATTAGCCGTCACCGTATGTTATGCTGTGTTAGAGTCCATTTGATAACTGAACAACGTTGTTCAGAAAGTTTTTGGTGAGATGGGTTTGTTGTAGCTTCATTGTTGCTATATCTGTACGTTAGAATGCATATGTGCGAGGGTATAAGCAGAACTTCTCCCCACAGATTACTATGCTGTGCTGGCAGCGGTCGGGGTGGACGCGCTTCTCTTTCTGCTGAACATCATGCTGATCATTGGAGTCTGTCTGGTAGGTACTTATTAGTAACTTGCCTGTTATAGTACTGAAATAGTACGCTGTGTTACCGAAAGACACACATACTCGTATTTGATGATAAATAACAGTCGCATTGCTTTGATGGTCTAAAACAATGAATAAATTTATACATATTGTTTGGAGAAAGGGATTAATTTTTGGGATTTCCCAACTTCTTGGAGTACGTAAAAAGTCCCAAAAATGGACAAAAGTCTCCGTACTTCATATAATTAGGCCCGACATTTGAGTTGTGCTCCTGTTTTGGAGTGAGGACGAGAATATCTTGAATGCTCCTGTACGCTGCAAATTTTACAACGCACCTGTCTTTAATCTTAAAACCATTGGAAGAAAACTGTGAGCATTAACGCTGTTCCGTTTCCAGAGCCTGCCTGGGCCCATGGCTGCGTGGATGGGCTCCATGTCTGTTTACGTCATCATCAGGCTGGGTGTGTCCGTCACCTTTACCGTGTTCGGGGTGCCGAACGCCGTCGCTACAGATGTAAGTCATGTTTTATACTTACTTACAACAGAACTATTCATACCCCTAGATCAACGCAATATACATCTGCCATTAACCTGGGTGGATTGCACTAATTACTTAATGAGTGCCTCAAACACAGCTTCCAGGTTTTCTTTGCCATACAAGTAATTACTACGTATTACTTTTGAGAATCCTATGTGGTCGTAATGTTTGTTACTAGATGAAAGCTTAAGGATGCAACTCTATAGAATATATAAAATAAATAAATAAATAGAATCTCTACGATCTTATTACTAGTAATCGTTTGCAATATATTTGGCAAAGGTTAAATGAATATTTGCAGAGTTAATCGTCTTTAACACGTCTTGTATCTGAATATATGTTTGTAAAAACACACTTGTTGACAGGACGGAACCATGCGGGTGGGTGTGTATCTCCTAGCGCCTCACTGGGTAGCCTGGATCGTGCTTCTCCTCATCTTCGTAAGTTTTGTAACTTCTAGAGCGAATAAAATAAATTTCATGCATGGCATCTACATATAGGCGTTGTTCGGGGTTTGTTTCAAGATGACAAAGTTAAAGAAAACCTAGCTGTCAGTTTGCATAAAGGCAGCGACTGCAGCCTGCTATAGCCTCTTTCATTCATTTATTCATGCTCGATTTCAAATATTTTCTGTGGGCTTGGAGACCAGCTAATATGAGCGCGAAGCTTTTACTTTTTATTAGCACGTACTTTGGAAAGTCATTCGTCGACACAAAACGAAGGTTATTGCACAAGGATGAGAAATTTGGTCAACATTTTCTTCATCGTTTTTAAAAATTGCAGCTGTGGGCGTTCCTGACTGTGTACTCCTACTGTAAAGTTTTAACCGGGGAGGACGACAAGGAGGAGGGCGTGGCAGTTATCGAGCATGAGGTAACGTTTTTATCCTTAACGTCACTACAGAATTAACACATGTCATGTGGCAACATTACTAGAAAACAAACAAGCACGTGTACATCCACTTTGTCACTAACCAACTAATACACAGTGTTGATCGCAAAGGCCTATATTTTTTTTACTTTTTTTAATCTATTTATTGTCCTTTTTTTAGATGGAAACCAAGAAGGTGGATGAAGGAGTGGTAAACAAGGGTGCAGTGACTGAGGAAGCTGTCAACGAGGTCGCCATCTTATAGACATCGCCACGAAGTAGCATTGCATCCACTACTAGCTACTCCAAAAATAAATTACTCGTCTCTGCTTTACCTTTTTTTTGCTGAAACTGTCATGAGTGTCTGACAGTTTGCAGCAACTATTATTTTGTAATACTCTTATATTTCCTTTTGTCACTTTGTCTATGTGATCATACATGTATCACGGCGAGTTTGGCCAGTCTTTGTATTTAACCCCCAAAATCATGAATTGAATGTACAATTAACATTCAACGTTAAACTTTGTATACTGATGTATCTGTCCCTGATATGTGTCAAACAATAGTGTAAAGAAGCCCTACTTAACAGATGATGTGTCAAACTGTTTGTGTTATTGAAATCCCAACAACATAACAGTACTCGAAGAAAGCAATAACATCACAATACATTTTATTCACATTTACATTAAGCATTATAGTTTGAGAAGGCTTCATTTATGTCCATACATTTTGAATAATTGACAGTGATACACTGTATCATTAGATGATCAGGTACATAAAACGTTTCTTGTATCTTCTTATACATTTGTATTTTGTCTGAATCTCATGTTACCTCTTCCCTCATGATCTCAATGACATTGAGCTAGTCTCCACCAGACTCCCAGGCCGATTGGATCCTCGATGGCCGGCTACCTTCTCTGGCCAATTAATACTCTTTTTAAACCGATTTCTACAATTTATTCAGCCTGCAAAAGGAGTCTGGTGGAGACTAAAATTAATTGAGCAGCCAACAGGCCAATTTGAGTATTTCATGAATAAACAAAGGCTTGAACCAACCAATTTGACATACCTTCTCTCTGCTGTCTTATCCAATACAAACTTAGAACAAAATAGCTACTTCACCAGCCAATCCCTACGAGTTTGCAGATTTACATGATATGTATAGCAGCTTCATTCAAACAGCAAATTTCATAGAATCAACAACCTTTTTACACAACCAAGTGTTTTATACAACAGACATTTTGGTGACCATCTGTCACCTTACTCAGGGCAATTCTGACTGGTACACGGCACACTGCTGTTGCTGCTATAGATGCTGAGGAAAGTGACAGACAGTCACTGAAACATTGCCTGAATAAAACATTTGGTTGTGTGAAATGAGTATCTTTACTCAGTGGCTTACCAATCTGATGAAACTATTAACAGAGAGGGGCAAATTTCACATATTGGCAAGTTGTGGCAGTACAAGGCCATACAATGTTGGCTCCTACTATATTCTACCGTCAAATCACTGGAGATGCCCAATCTCTCCACTAGGTAATTTTAACAACTTCAAGTTCACATCTTGGCCTTGGCCAGTTCTGTCAGTGGGCCGTGCCATTTCTCCCCCAGCATGTGAGCCATCAGCTCCAGTCTGTCCGACCCAAAGAACATCTGAGGTTTCCCGTCGATGTGTGCTACGATGGTGGGGGAGCCAAACGCTCCGTGGTCCAGCGCCGTCTGGGTGGTCTGTCGAAGACGGTCCTTCACCGCCTGGTCCTGGAGGATTGAAGAGTTAGATCTAAGACAGCATTTATTTTATTTATTTATTTCTGTATTCTTTTACCAGGGTGGCACTACTCAGTGACATAGCACTGCTTTACAGAGTGGCCCTGGGTACGACACATATATACACGGAAATACGACAATATATACACCAAAAACAATATCATAAACGTGATCCATTACTCGTAATCAGGGTCATGCAAGGTCGTAATAAGGGAGGGAAGTCAGATGCCACGTAACTGAGCATACAGTGTTCTGAACGTCTATATCGACGGTGCAGTTCTAACACCAGGTGGGAGTTTATTTATTCCAGCCCACTGCACCTCGATAAGCAAATGTTCTCTTGCCGCAATCCAAACAAACCTTGACAGCAAAAGTTGTTGTACAATTTTTTCCCTTTTTTTTTAATGCTGACCTGGTATACCACTTCTGAGTTGGCACTGTACTGATTTCTAGGAGTTCTATGGAGCCTTGGTAGTATGGGTGCCATCCTCCGTAGTTACCAACAGCTCCCTCTTGTCGCTGGCTACCATGAACTACAGACAATGGCACCCAGGCCACCCAGAGGTTGATTTTTTTAGAACAGGCAATACATACGTGGATGCATGCTGTTCTGTAGTTCTGCTAGTGTATTATAATCTTGCATATACATGATTGTGTTTTTATGGATGAAATCCAGACAAATTAGATTCGATGTATCCTCCTCTGAAGGATATCTACAGTACTACTAGTAATAAAATATCAAACAAACACCTTGATGGTTGAGAGAAGTTGTTTAGCCAGGTCCTCAGGGATGCCTGCTTTAGCTGCAGCTGACATCAGACTGGCAGGTTCTGTGATGTCCTCATCTCGGTAGTAAATCCTCAGGAACAACTGTCTGGTAAAGGGGTTGGTAAAAGAAAAGGTATAAGGAAAAAGAATTATCAGTTTTAGAATTACCGGCTTTTCTGCCACTAGTCAAACATAAAATCTCATCAGAGTCTCAGCTTCTGTAATGTCCATGACCACTTTGAGGAGAATTACTGGAGGCTGAAATCTTGCCTGATAATGTTTTAGCTAGCTTATCAACTAATTAGTACAGAAGCTACATGTAGGCACACTTTCCTGTTTGTTCAGAGCATTGAATCACTGTGTAAATATATGTACATATTTTTACCACAATGTATTATAATATTACTACTACTACCTTGTCAACTCCTCCAAGTACTGGTCACAGTTCATGTCCACTGCTGTGAGGAAGCGGCCTGCGTTGATGGAACCCTTGATGAACATGACCTCTGCAGGGTTACTGGGCATCTTGAAGGGCACCTTGTACATGTCTGTCAGTCTCCTCAGGTCCTTCCCCATGTAGGTCGCCTTAGCAGGGACCATGCCCGGGGGACGGTTATCTGGGGGAAAGGAGTATACATAAGATACACAGATTAACTCAACGTCATCATTTTCTATCATTAGTATATAGTATTAACCATAGAATATTGACAAGTTCAACCCTGTATTTTCCAATAGAGTTGAACTAGAAACATATGTGTGTATCTGTGTTGATCTGTTTCTAGCCAATTTTTCTCCCAAATTTTGCTAATTTTTTTAAATTTTTGTACCTGTGTTGTAAGGCTAGTGGAGACAATAAATACAAAGCACTAGTGTGTAATGTTGACCTTTGTCACCCACCTGCTCCCTGCATGATCCCTGACAGGAAGAACGGCCTCAGTTTCAGGTCGATGTTCCACTTCTGTTGGTAACGACACATCACCTAGGGATGGTATGGGCAAAGGATATATTTGTATCATTATAGTTTGGGGATCATTTTGTTAACTGTGGAAGAGAAATATGTACTGTCCTGTGTGACATTCTTGTTGACCTTCCACTAGTACGTACCAGGCCTCTAAATCCCCCTCCCTTGAACCAACTGACATTTTTGAGGGTGGAGGTATGGGAACCAGACTAGCTCCCAGCCTATCTTGGATTTAATTTGCATGACAAAATTTACATAAGCCAGTTTTTACAACTTTTTACATGGCCTATATTTCCGAAAGGACTTTGGCCTCTACACTTTTTCTAGTGCTGAATTTCAATAAAAAGCATCTTCGTATACGATGGAAACATAAGCCACCATATTCAATAATTTCAAGTCATATTTAATTCGACAAACGACACACCTAGTAAGAGACGTTGTTTTGCAAATAATTTCTGCAAAACAAAACCGAGTCGAAAAAGTTTGTTTCTGCAAGTTTCTGCCCCCCTCCCCACCCCGCCCCAAAGTTTACGCTTATAGGCAAATACGAAAAAAGTCTTTATCTAGTAGGCATGCAGTTGAATAGCAAAAATGTTGCTTTAGAGAATTAGGAGGGTGGTTGTCTAACCTCGAACGCCAGCCATGTGTACGGCGACAAAACGTCGTAAAAAAACTCCACAGATTTTCGAGTTGGTGCCGCCATCTTGGACGACCTCTGGGTGACCTACCTGGGATATGCCATTACTTTATAGGGAGAACATAGATTGAGACCTGTGAAAGCTACTATATAAAATTGTAGGATTTTATAAGGACATGCGTTAGAATATGAAATCTATCAGTTATATTAAGGGTAGTTATATTGATATGAAATAACATCTTTCTGTCAAAATCCTATGTGAAGCATTTTTTTTTCATTTCAACGGCCCCTAGTAGTGGTTGTGATAGTCCTAGGTTTTCGGGTCAAAGTTGAGGGTGACATTGTACTTTTTCGGGTAAAAGTTTGTCACTTTTCCGCAGAATTTCTGTCTTTTATGTGACATAAAATCGGCTAAGAGAGTACAGAGAGACTCGTACTCATCTGTGAGAAAGGAAAAAGTTAAATACCTTGTGGTAGGTAAGTAAATTAACTATAATTTTATCGTTTTATGGCTTATGAAAAAATGCACGTGGGGTGGGGGGCATTCTGCTCGAATTCGCGTATTCGAAACCACACATTTGCTAAGTATGTAGATGTATTTAACTTATAACAATATCTAATATATTATATTAGATGTACATGCAAACACTGGCGTGTGAAAACAAATGACATTTTCCCAGGCACCAATAGCAAAACACTGACCTTAGATCCACCACATTCATGTAAATAAAAAAAAAAACAGATACTAGAATAACTAGATTTTTGTAGGTACAATTTTTCATGTGTAAGAAGCCTTTTCTTTCGGTCACAGGCTAACTGGGATTTTTGTCCTCTGTTTTCCCACTCCTAGATATTGTAGAGGTTCAGTCCTAAGTAGAAGGAACATTCCTTTTTGAGAAGAACATACAGCAGCATGGCTGACCAACAACCCTCAGGCAGTGGTGACAGGTCACATGACCAGCCCTCCACCAATGAGAGCAGCTCTTCTGGCACCATGGCAACCACTTCTGAGGAGGGTGCTGTCGGGGGTGCTGAACCCACATCATCTACAATCCGCGACCTGATTGGTGGAGAGGGCGTGCCTGACAACATGTTCGCCGTTGTCCCGTTGTCGTGGTGCCCGCATCTGGAAACCATAGCAACCCTCCCTAGCGACGGTCTGGACGCATCGGCGCCGTGTGTGACCTGCGGTGACCCCTCCGAGAACTGGGTGTGCCTGCACTGCTACCAGGTGCATTGTGGGAGGTTTGTGAAGGAGCACATGGTACAGCATGGTGAGACTACAGGACACAGTATGGTGCTGAGTTACGCTGACCTCTCCGTCTGGTGTTACCCTTGTGACTTCTACGTACACAACGAAGCCCTGCTGCCTGCCAAACGAGCAGCACACCTGAGCAAGTTTGGCTGTCTGCCTGGCTGTTGATGGAAATTTGCACTGTTCAGCAATATCACTAGTAATTTATGGTAAAAACAGTGACATTTACTAGTGGTGGAATGGAATTTGGAACTGCAGGATGGAATTATTTGTTAGTCAACAGGCAATGGTTTTCATTCGTTTTCTGCTTAGAACTTAACTGTCATACATGAAAAGAATTATGTTTTCGTTGTCGTGCAGTCGAAGTATGTTTTGAATTTGTGACAAATGTTACGCTATATGCTACAACTTTAAACACCATGATGCTGTTTAGTATTATTTCACTTCTGTATGCACTTGTACTAGTATCCCTTCATAATAATATTACACTGTATTATATTGTGAATATTAATACAAGTTTGGAAATAAAAGCCAAATATTCCAATATCAAGTACTTGTGTTGTGTGACTTTCTGCTGGCTCAAGTCATGTTTATGTCCGCTGTATGAGCCTGACTGAAAAATACAATGTCATGTAAGATGGTGCTCTTCGCGTCTCATCGACTTGACTATAGGTCCACAGTCCTCATCAGCAATGCCTGTTTTATTCATTCATTTACTAGTACACTTGTATTATACATGTATACTATTAATCAATGCATTAATCAATACGTATGTCAATTCAGCCAAACGAGGCAGATTTCTATTGGGTACTCAGAGCAGATAAGCAGAATACAAACTAAGGATTAGCGATAGATGATAATCATATGATATGTGTTCATTTTTCAGTACAGATCATCATGGACTTACATGTATATATGAATATGACCTCAGCTACAATTCATATACTATGGTATATAGTAATTAGCCCATGTAAGTCCCGGTTTATCAAATGCTTTCTTTTCTCTCCTAGGTGAAGCACTTCTTGTGCCATTCTGCAACTATGAAGCTGTGGATTTCCGTCCTCAAGACTAACCATATACCCCAGAGAGTTTTGGTCACCCATGTCAGAACTTTGTGCTACAATACAGCCAACAACAGTACAAACTTCTCAACTCACACAAAACATGTCTCAAACAGAACTAAACTTCAAGAAAAGTTTCTTGGTGCCAATAAGACATGCCGCAGGCTTTCATCGTCTTACTCAAAGGAGACTGCTATTCAGAACATCCTTCTTGAGGAGAACAAATCCAGGACATTGGAACGGATACCGAAGATGAGGAGTATTGTTACTAACGAGAAAGTGACAGTGGGGGCTGCAGTGTTGGTGCCACTCTGTACGGTGAACGGAGTCCCTTCTGTGCTCTTCACTCTCAGGTCTTCAAGACTAAGAAGCCACAGAGGAGAAGTCAGGTTAGGGACTTAGGTGCAGATTGATGTTTTAAAACTTTTAATTCAACACATAGAAAATGTTTACTTTATAATTAGAGCTTTTGCCTGTAACATTACCTATGGCTGATAGTACTTTGGAAATATCAGCTAATTTACAAAGCAATGTATAAGAGTTTAAATGCCTACCTACCTATTAGAGTGTGTCACTTGCTAAGGTTTGTAATAAGTATATAAAGCTATGCTAATCTATTTGATATTTTCTTTTAAGACGTTTGACTTTTCTGTATGTACATGGTTTCCAGTTTTCCAGGCGGCATGTGTGACAGTACTGATCGTGATGTCGTGCACACTGCTCTACGGGAAACAGAAGAGGAACTGGGCATCCCTTCCAGTACTGTGGACGTCTGGGGACCGCTCAAACCTATACCTGACAGGGTAGGTACATGGGACTGTTCATTATATGTGGGGACCGCTCAAGCCTATACCTGACAGGGTAGGTACAGGGGACTGTTCATTATTTGTAGGGACTGCATAGAAATTGGCAAAAGAGAGAGATAACATGCTAAGGGAGTTGGTCTGCTAGAGAGTACATTTTGATGCACCCGGGCCAATTTCTACTCTTTCTGGGCGCCTCCCTAAGCCTGGTAGAGGCTAGTGCATGTATGTTACCTACTAAAGATAGTCTAGACTATAGTCTATCTAAATGCATCTGTGTTGTGCAGTATTCCTGACATAACAGTAGTTCTTACAGAAAAACACCATGACAGTTGTGGCTGTACTGGGAAATGTTGGAGAACTGGACCCTACAAAACTCAAGCTCAGTCCCAGAGAGGTGAGTACAGGACTGTCTTGACAAATTGTGGAATGAAAACCTGATGTTGTTTATGACATCTGTTGCTGCTTCTTTCCTCTAGCAAACAAACAGCTGTTTTTGTGTTAACCAACATATTAACAACTGTTATCCACCTTTAACAAATCCACGCGAAGGCTGCCGTGTCAACTGTTACCCTCACTCAGGTGTAGGGACTGACACGGTCATCCTACTCGGAAAGTCTGTATCTGTATATCTGTACATGAATCTGTATCTGTGCATGACTATGTATCTGTACATGAATCTGTATCTGTGCATGACTATGTATCTGTACATGAATCTATATCTGAGTACAAATAAAAGATCACGAGTGATTGCCATAGACAAACATAGCAGCAGTGTTTCCCCTGTCCTTCTTCCACCTGCTCAACCAACCAAACAAACAGTTGTTTATGTTTATGTTTACCCAGGTGGCAGAAGTGTTCACTCTGTCCTTCTCCCACCTGCTGGACCCCGCCCACCAGCGCTACACCACCGTGAAGCGTCGGCATGACAACTACAGCTACACCATGCCTGTCTGGCTCGGCGGCCCGCACCGCGTCTGGGGGCTCACCGCCATCATGCTCGATCAGGTACTCGTTGCCATAGCAACAGACTGGTACAGAACAGTGCTCAGGTCCAGCTGGAGGCAACGCCGGTGACATCCACAGTTATGTTTGATTTCAAAATAAAGGTTGCTAAGCCCGAATGTCATGTTTTTCTTTGGCAATGTTGATCATATTTGCTGTCTTGCATGTGTTACACAATTTTATGCTATCAGAGACTGAATAGGCCTCCTTTCTGTGAGCTTGTGGCCATACACATCTACTTCTGGAGAACCATTCCCATTGTCAGAGAGAAACTGACCCACCAATAAAAGTTCAATATTCTTTATCACTATGAAAACCAGTACAATAGGAGCTCAGGATTCTCATGGCCCCACCTTAAACACTGACTTTGACTTTATATTACACGATTTTGCAACCGTGGGCCAAGTAAGGTCACTAAAGATATATGCGAAGTTGATAAGTACAAGGCAACTCCAAATAAGTTCAACCTCCACTCGCTTCTTAGCTTAAAATAGAAATAAAAGCACAGATATCTTTTTCAATGAAAATGGTGTAGAATTTAGAATTAAGAATATAATAAGAATACAAATAAGTAGTAGCTCCCCAAGTAATCATTGATATTGCTCAACGTTTTACATGTTAGGGCGATTTACGGTAGGCAATGAAGGGGACAGAACAGCCAGGTGACCGAAGACTGTTGTTATAACACAGCATACGTTATTACTTGCCAGTGAAGTCATACCTCCTCTAGAGAAGTATCAACAGCCTTGGGGTTCGTACAGTTACACCGCACATATTACATTTGTACATGGAGTTCAGAGCCAAGTAGATTTCCGTGTTAGTACAACACACATTTGATTGCCTCCTAATGTCTGCCTCCAACCAACATTGACTATATGCGACATAACGGTCATAATGGTCCTGTCTTGAGTTTCAGATCATCTTACAAAACAGGCTCCTGGCCTTCTCATTGTCCTGTTATGCAACAAGAACTACAGTCTTGGCTTTCAGTGGGTTTATGGTAAATGGTCTTAGGCATATGTTTACTTGCCCTTAGGAATCCGTTAGTAACATTAACAGGGTGAAGTATCAGGCGCTCGTCCATTATTACAAGGCAGTGCGTCAGTCGTATCCAGACCTTTATGCTCCGAAAGAATCAACCATCCATGTCGGACAATAAGAGCAGCGTTGAGTTGCAAACTGTTTTGTGTAAGATACCGGTGTTGAACTTCACAGTAAGCACTGCTTTATTTGGTAACATCAACATCAAGGCGAGTACCATGCGCCATTCTGACTTAACCACTGAGTACAGCATTCGCACAAGTCGTTTTCAGATCGTTGTCCACCAGAAGAACCAACCATGGCCATGAAATCAGTGCTTGCGATCCTGGCTGTCCTGGTGTCCCTGCAGGAGACTTCAGGTCAGACAATCAACATCAATGTCAACATGCCTGAAGGAGGGGAGAAATCAGCTGCCGCTCAGGTCAGTCTGCGCCCTATACATGTAACTTAACGTACGCACGTTCGGTCGTCTTCTTTTCTTAAAACCTTTATATACATGTACGACGATGTAGCAGCCTCTACAAATGCAGCAGAAGCCTTTACATTTGATAGTCTCAAGCGAAAATTAGAGATGAATGAATGTTTTGACAAGTCGTTCAAGTTGATATACTAGTAACCAGATTCAGATTATTTCTCATATTTTTTCCAGAACCTTCTCATGACTGATTTGCAGGAGAAGAACCTGAAGCTGGAGTTCGAAAAAGCCGAGTTAGAGCAGCGTGTCAGATATCTGAGCAAAGCACTCTGTGGTGAGCCTCACAGCATTTACAGCAAAGTATTCTTAGAGCAGGGCAGCATATTCGGAACATCCTCCCATGGCAGGGGCAGCGGCTCCGAATTCCTTCTCCACCCCCTACCCCTGCCGAATAACATGGCATCTTCTACTCTACGACCCCAGGAATATTAATATTCATGAGCTTGCCTTATTTGGCATGACCCCATTTCTGACTTGGGCGGCGAAGGGACGTCACCCTCCCCGCCGGCGACTCCGCCGCCGCCCGGTGACGAGCCCGTTAACGCGTTGGGGAGGCCGTGCGGGGCAAAGTCACCGAGTTAACACCTTCCCCGTGCTCGGCGGGATCCGCGCGCAGCCTCCAGCACACGCTAGCGCCCCGCCGACGCCCGCAGCGGCCTGCATCGCAAAAGTTCTCTTCCCGAGACGACGCCATGTTTGTTTTTATTTGTCACTGAATAGCCGACATGATTGGTTCCGATAGCTAGCGCATCTCATAAATATTAATGTGAAGTGCGTTGAAGATTTTCTCTGTGATACGTGATTGGCTGAGAGCGTGTCCCTGGAATCGGGTCGCCGAGTAGAAGATGCCATGTTATTCGGCAGGGGTAAGGGGTGGAGAAGGAATTCGGAGCCGCTGCCCCTGCCATGGGAGGATGTAAGGGGTGGAGAAGGAATTCGGAGCCGCTGCCCCTGCCATGGGAGGATGATTCGGAAGTAATGAGTAGGAGTGTATCTTGTAATCACCTATGTTATACATGTATTTAAGTATTGCTAAACGTACACCACTGACAGGCGTGATGGAAAGTTTTGAAACAGCCCACCGTAACCTAGTAAGTGCTACATGTCTTGAATTCAGTCGGGACAAGGAAAAATATGTCTTTAATCCTATCAAGTATTGGTAAACATCGGAAAATGAACTATGTTACCTATGTGTGAATCTATCTAAATTGTTTTCATTCCCTCTGCAGCCTGTAATAACAAGACACACAGTTGTCCCAGCGGTTATGTCCAGTTCTGCGATAAGTGCTACAGCTTCTCTGATGACCAGAAGAACTACACCGACGCCAGGTCCGCCTGTCAGGCTGCCGGAGGGCACCTGGCTATGCCAAAGGACCAGGCAACAAACGACTTCCTGGTCAAAGTATTCTGGTCCTGGTACATCCATAGTGGCTTAATGCATGGCCCGGTCTCCTCGATATCGATATGGTTCGGTCTGACAGACCAGGTGAGGGAGGGAATCTGGGTGTGGGAGGACGGGACAACACTCGGCACGACCGGCTGGTCCGATTGGTATACGGGACTGCCCGATGTGCACGTTACCTATCGTGACTGTGCTACTTGGTCAATCAAATATTTCGCTAAGTGGGCTGATTTTAGATGCCTTGAAGAATTCTTTTATGTATGTGAAAAGGGTGCTACTGTTATCCCCTAATCAAGTACACGATCACTGGTCAAGAACCGTAGCGTGTACAAGGTTTGAAGTTCATAAAACCTTTCGTGTTGTGATTTACGCAATGTTTCATAAGTGTGTTGTGTTAAACCAAGGAGGTTAAATACTTTGATTTTAACTCCATGGTTAAACGTTATACGGGTGACATTTGAAGTATAGAAACTCAGCCTGTATATTGTGACAATTATGTTTTATTTACGGTAGATATTTGAAGTATGCGTATGGCAGCGTCATGTTGTGAAAAACTTGGTAAGACGAGTATTTATCATACAGTTCAAAACGTAATAAACCCAGCCTGTAGTATGTAAATGTCCTCAGAATATGAAGTAATGATGCAAGGGCACTGGCGTCCTAGCTATAATCATAACATTATGAGATAATGAGGAGACATGTAAGAAACACAATCATTGGTTTGACAGGTTTTGTCTCTATGGACAGAAAACTAGGGCTGAACTAGACGGTAAAAACTACTCTATGCTTTTGTGATTTCAATAAAAGTTTTACTGATTTTGACAATGTTTGTGGCCTTATGAAATGTATATAATCTATGCGACGACAGCTCTCTCTTTGCAAGCTGAGCACTTGAATTAGCAGGACCTGATAGTTCATGAGACTGAAGCACAACTCCCCCCTCTGTCGAAGTATCAATAGCCTTGGAGTACAGGTACGATGTATGTGACCTGGAGTCCTGGACCCCATGTAGTTTTCCGTGTTGGCACAACATTTGATTGATTGATTATAATTATATCTGCTCCCAACCAACATTGACTACAAGGCACATAATGGTATTGGGTTTTAAGTCATTTCACCAAACAGGCTCCTGGCCTTCTTGGTGTTCTGTTATGCAACAATGATTACAATCTTTAGTGGCTATTACGGTACATAATGTCATTGACACTGTACCTGCCCTTCCGTTGGTAACATATAACGGGGGGGGGGGGGGGTATCAGGCGTCCGCCGTCCGTTATGTTACACGGCAGTGTGCACGTCGTGTTGAGATCTTTATGTTCCAAAAGAACCAACCTTGCCTGTCGGACAATAAGAGCAGCGTTGAGTTGCAGACGTTTTTGTCCAGGGTGTGGTGTTGAACTACAGAGCACTTGGCACTACATTGGTAAGATCAATAAGGAAAGTACCAGGTGCCATTCCGACTTATGTGACTCCAGTAGAGCATTCGCGAAAGTCAGTTCCTTGTGCACTAAAAGAACCGATCATGGCCATGGAATCAGTGCTTGTGATCCTGGCTGTCCTGGTGTCCCTGCAGGAGACTTCAGGTCAGACGGTCAACATCAATGTTAACGTGCCGGAAGTAGTAAGCAAGGGGAGTATCAGGCGTCCGCTCATTATTACACGGCAGTGCGTCAGTCGTATTCAGACCTTTATGCTCCGAAAGAATCCATGTCGGACAATAAGAGCAGCGTTGAGTTGCAGACGTTTTTGTGTAAGATACCGGTGTTGAACTTCACAGTACGCACTGCTTTGGTAACATCAACATCAAGGCGAGTATCAGGCGCCATTCTGACTTTACTACAGTACAGTATTCGCACAAGTCGTTTTCAGATCGTTGTGCACCAGAAGAACCGATCATGACCATGAAATCCGTGCTTGTGATTCTGGCTGTCCTGATGTCCCTGCAGCAGGCTTCAGGTCAAACAATCAACATCAACGTCAACGTGCCTGAAGGAGGGGAGAAGTCATCTGCCGTTCAGGTCAGTCTCCTCTCCATACAAGTAACGTTACACACAAGCTTTATTCGGGGGTTTTGCTGTTTTAAAACTTTCTTATACATATATAGGGAGAAAGACATGATGGCAATTTTGTCTAAAGAACAGATTAAATCGCCACAAAGTGGAGGGCATACATGGAAAACGGCCTTTTGTTGTCACTTGTAGGACTTTTTAGAAATCCCAAGTTCCACATAATTAGCGCGAGGTATACGTAGTGACTAAAGCCATAAAACAAATTCAGCCAGGCATAGATGTAGTAATATAATAAGCCAAATGCAAAATAGTGATGAAAATAAACAGCAATATAGTGTAGCAGTAGCCAAAACCACGATGTAGCAAACCAAACTTAATACAGTGCACGTACCTGTTACCAGAAGCTCTGGTGTGCACAGTGCAACACAAGTATATATGAGTAGACATCCCCTACAACTTTTAAGTAACAGTCATGCCTGATCTTGAGCATAATAAGGAGGGGCAGGAAGGAGCTTATGTGACAAGTTTCAAACTAACGGCTATGTTAAAAAAAATTACAATTTGACTATCAAGTTCTAAAACATCGTATTAGCCACCATGTTCATCTAGGGTCTGTGATGGTCATGATCGTTTTGTTTCTCCCAACTGGCCGACTTTAGGACAAAAAGGATCTAAAAGTCACTTTCATCGCGCCAGTAATCGATTATAGTTATTATTTACTTATTTATTCTTATACTTAACTTTCTACTCAGCCCGAATAATTAGAGAACCAAGTTCTTGAAATATTCATATTACATTTTTCTCAACGTGTTTAAAATTTCGTTCATCCCAATTTAAACCCATTGTCATCAATGGAGGCCTATCCAGTAGAAAGCTCCGATCGACAGAGACTTATCATGAGCTATAGGTTCAGCTTTCACAGGTAGTCTGAGTTGATATAACCAGATTCAGATTATGATTATACCCCATCAATTTCTTTCCAGACTCTTCTCATGACTAATTTGCAGGAGAGAAATCTGAACTTGGAATTCGAGAATGCCGAGTTGAAAACTAAAAATGCCAATTTGGAGCAGCGTGTCAGTCATCTGAGCAATGCACTCTGTGGTGAGTCTTACAACATTCATAGAAAATTATTCTCAGCAGGGCAGCTTATAGAAAGAGCAGGATTGTATTTTGTAATCACCCCTATATCAACTAGGACCTCTGCATTCAAGTGTTGATAAACGTACACGCTTCTAGTAATAGGCATTGTTGAAACAGCACGCCGTATCCTAGAATATGCTACATGGCCGTCTTGCATCAGGAAAAGAGCAAGGAGAACATGTCTTTGATAATTTTTAGTGTTGGTAGACACCCGAATGTTAACTATGTAATCTAGCTGAATTATTTCTATTTCCTCTGCAGCCTGTAATAACAAGACACACAGTTGTCCCAGCGGTTATGTACAATTTTGCGACAAGTGTTACAGCTTCTCCTCTATACTTGACCAGAAGAACTACAAGGACTCCAGGTCCGCATGTCAGGCTGCCGGCGGGCACCTGGCTATGCCAAAGGATAAGGCAACAAACGACTTTCTGGTCAAACAGATCCCGTCCTTGTACAACTATGTAGCCTTAGTTCACCTGGGCCGGGTCTCCTGGATATCGGTGTGGTTTGGTCTTACAGACGAGGTGAAGGAGGGAATCTGGGTGTGGGAGGACGGGACAACACTCGGCACGACCGGCTGGTCCGATTGGTATAAGGGAAGGCCTGGTGTATACGTTTCCGATTATGACTGTGCTGCTTGGTCAATCAATTATCACATTAAGTGGGCTGAATTTTTGTGTAGTGAAAAATTCTATTATGTATGTGAAAAGGGTGCTACTGTTATCCCCTAATCAAGTACACGATCACTGGTCAAGAACCGTAGCGTGTACAAGGTTTGAAGTTCATAAAACCTTTCGTGTTGTGATTTACGCAATGTTTCATAAGTGTGTTGTGTTAAACCAAGGAGGTTAAATACTTTGATTTTAACTCCATGGTTAAACGTTATACGGGTGACATTTGAAGTATCGAAACTCAGCCTGTATATTGTGACAATTATGTTTTATTTACGGTAGATATTTGAAGTATGCGTATGGCAGCGTCATGTTGTGAAAAACTTGGTAAGACGAGCATTTATCATACAGTTCAAAACGTAATAAACCCAGCCTGTAGTATGTAAATATCCTCAGAACATGAAGTACAGATGGAAGGGCATTGGCGTCCTAGCTATATCGTGACATTGTGAGATAATGAGGAGTGGTCTTACATGCAAGAAACACAATCATTGGTTTGACAGGTTTTGTCTCTATGTACAGAAAACTAGGGCTGAACTAGACGACAAAAACTACTCTATTCTTTTGTGATGTCAATAAAAGTTTTACTGATTTTGACAATGTTTGTGGCCTTATGAAATGTATATAATCTATGTGACGACAGCTCCCAACCAACATTGACTACATGGCACATAATGGTTAAGTTTTAAGTCATTTCACAAAACAGGCTCCTGGCCTTCTCGGTGTTCTGTTATGCAGCAATAATTACAATCTTGACTTTAGTGGTTATTACGGTACATAATGTCATTGACACTGTACCTGCCCTTCCGTTGATAACATATAACGGGGGGAGGGGTATCAGGCATCCACCGTCCGTTATGTTACACGGCAGTGTGCACGTCGTGTTGAGATCTTTATGTTCCAAAAGAACCAACCTTGCCTGTCGGACAATAAGAGCAGCGTTGAGTTGCAGACGTTTTTGTCCAGGGTGTGGTGTTGAACTACAGAGCACTTGGCACTACATTGGTAAGATCAATAAGGAAAGTACCAGGTGCCATTCCGACTTATGTGACTCCAGTAGAGCATTCGCGAAAGTCAGTTCCTTGTGCACTAAAAGAACCGATCATGACCATGAAATCAGTGTATGTGATCCTGGCTGTCCTGGTGTCCCTGCAGGAGACTTCAGGTCAAACAATCAACATCAACGTCAACGTGCCTGAAGGACCGGAGAAATCAGCTGCCGCTCAGGTCAGTCCCCTCTCCATACAAGTAACGTTACACACAAGCTTTCGCACATGTTCCTTTTATTCTAAACTTGTGTATTAGTAAAACAAATCTGTTCAAAGGTTGGAATAAAAAGACGCAGAACACAGTGGATGATGATGATGATGAATAAAAAGAGTCATGTGTAGCAAGCGGCCTCTCTCGATCTGCTATGTAGGACTTGTAGTGATCCTAAGTTCGTCATAATGAGCGCAAGGTATATATGCGTAGCAGCTAGAACCATAATGCAGTAGCCCTATCAACCTAGACATACATGTGGACTACTACACATCAGCTATAAAGAGTAAACCAAATACAACATAGTGATGCATTTAGATTACATCCCATCATTTCTTTTCAGAACCTCTTCATGACTAAATTGGAGGAGCAGAACATACAGCTGCAAGTCAAACTCGCCCACATGGAGCAGCGACTCAATGATGTGAGCGAAGAACTCTGTGGTAAGCCTTACAGCATTTAGAGCAACTTGTTTTAAGACAGGTCTGGGACAGCTGCGTAACATACAAAGAAGTAACAAGCAGAAGTGTATATTGTAAACACTCTTCTCAACTGGGAGTTCTATTCAAGTATTGATAAAAGCAAGTACATATAATACTACATTATAATATAATGTCCTTGATAAGAGTAAACAGCTTAGAACTAATAGGCGTTGTCGTATATGCTACATTAGTACATATCTTTAATTCAAAGAAAGGAAATATCTAATGGATAATATCAAACATTGGTAGACACCACAAAACTATAAAATAATTATTTCTATTTTCCCTGCAGCCTGCAAAGAGAAGACACACGTCTGTCCCGCAGGTGATATACTGATCTGCGACCGGTGCTACAGCCTCCCTAATATTTATGTTAAAAAAAACTACACTGAAGCCAGGTCTGTCTGTCAAGCTGCCGGCGGGCACCTGGCTATGCCTAAGGACAAGAAAACAAACGACTTCCTGGCGCGCGTTCTCCAGAGTCTCTTCATGTTCGTCGGTCGACGTCGCCACTCGGTCTGGATTGGTCTCACCGACAGATCTGAGATGGGAACTAGCTGGATGTGGGAAGACGGGACGCCGCTTGCTGGCTGGAACAACTGGGCGGCGGGGCGACCTCAGAATCCTCTTCATGGCGCCTTTTGTGCTTGCTGGGACGAGTTTCATGGCTACAATTGGAATGATGCACAGTGTGGCTCGGATGATTTTAATTATTTGTGTGAAAAACCTGCTACTGTTAAACCATAGTCAAAAGTTCTGATGGCCGGCAATAGGTTTGAAGTTCGTAAAAACTTCCATGCCATGTATTGTCTGATGTATTGTGTTAAACTTTATATTTCTACACTTTCCGTAAATTTTATGTATGCTCGTTCTATCTTACACTTGTCTATGTTTACTGTCAACTAGTACAGTATCCATTTGTCACTGAAAATAAAAGTTTTTAATCATCATATATACAATTGGTTTTGATTCAGTGACCATGACATATAAAAGGAATGAAATGCACGACTGCATCAAGTAAAAGACAAAACAATAAATCGTCTTGTATCCTCTCTTTTATCTGCCCTCCATGTTCCACCATCATGGCAACAGACATCTACTTTTCCCATTTTCGACATGTTGACCACTTTTGGAAGGCAACAAAATTTCTTAATTTTTGTTTAAATAAGGCGAAAATTAATGCAAGCGCTGATGTCATCCATAAAATTACTTATTACTATTAGTACTTTCTGACTGACCTAATGTGGTTTGAGAACAGGTCTAGCGTAGCCCCTATGTACTGGATTAAAAAAGAAGAAGAAAGTAGTGCTAAATTGAAATGTAAAAACTACTTTGTACTTTTGTGGTGTGAATAAAGGTTCAATTTCATTATTTTTGGCCAATGTGTGGCTCTGTGTAACTTCTTTGGCATCGGTTTTCCCTTTCAGTGTCTGAAATTATACAAAGTACATTTTATAAATGAACAACGATGTACAATGTTTGCTACACAATATTGTTAGTTTTTTTAAAATTAGTTTACTACTAATAGAATAACGAATACCACCCATATCAAGAAGGTATCAAACTCTTTTATTATAGTGTCTCTTGAGTACATATAGCAAAGTTCACTGAGTTAAGGTTTGTTACACAAAGTTCTAACTTCCAACTTAACACAAATACAAACATTAGCAGCATAAGCATCGTTAAACACTTTGAGGTTTTGACCCAACCTTTTTTCCTTGGACTTATCAATAGGGAGTAGTGCACAATTGTGGTAAATTAAAATTTTATTCTGTGTTGCAAACATACATTGTATATTGTACAAGTAAAACTTTATAGGTTTCTCTTAAAATGGTATTACTTTGAACCCTTGAAACTTGCTTGGCCCATTGAGAACATAAGGTTTTATCTGAAAACTGCAAATAGTAAAAATACTAATAAAAACAAAATGAGAAATTCTTGGTAAAATATATAAGTAGCAGCCTTTGCTTAATCTCATTTGGCATAGAACACCCCCGCCCCACCCCCACTTACAAACAACGTGTTATGTACATACTGTCATACAGATGATACACCCCCTTGTTAAAATGGAGTAGTCCATAGAACACATGACTCTATCAACATCAGGTTGATACCATTCATAAAAAAAGGTAGTCAACTACAATTGATTCACATTTAGAAACAAAACTGGCTATGTGTCTAATACTCTACTGTGCAACAAAAAATAAGGAATTTGCATACAATTTCCTGTGCATGGTATCACACCTAAATTTATGCTGGTTGTTTTATAAATGTAAATCACGCTGATGAAGAGCAAACCTACCTGAGGTTTTTCTAATGTACATAAAATGTGACCTGTATTTCATATCAACACTTACTGAAGTTGGAGTTAAGGTTACAAACATTACTGACATGTAGATATCATCCATACCTTAATGATATATTCAGTGTACAAAATGTTTGCACAAAAATCTAACAATTACAAGCATTGAAGTTTTAATGCTACAATGGTGTCAATTTGACTTTTGCGCAAACAGTTTGTCTATCATTTTGACTAAAAATATGTCAATATTACAAGTAATTATGGTAAAGTTTAAACTTTGTTCCAACACACAAGGGAATTTGCCATGAATTTTGGGTTGTTGGAGGAAAGTTTAATCTTTCTATTATGGGTTTTACCAACACAGATGAGCTTAGAATCATTCAAATATGTGGATACCTGTTGTTTTTCTAGAGTTAAAATCAACGTTATGAGTCATATTGTACGGTTAAAAACTTTATAATCTGATCTGTTAAACATAATGAGTCATTGTTTATGCTACGGTTGCGACTCGCTCCATTTTTGCGTCTCCCATCGCTGATCCGACTGCCAATTGCAAGCCTGCGGGCTGAGCCATCGGTTTGATGTAACCCGTCATGGCGGCTGACTCTGGCGGCGCGGCTCCGTTCCGTAACAACGATACACTGCGTAGTGTCAGGTCCTTGTTGACCTAAAGAGATTAGAGACATCATTAAAATTTAAATATGAATATCAATGAAGATTAGACATCCAGGTAATATCAATAAATGCATCGAGCAACCGAATGAAGAGAATTTATTTTGCATTGGTAACTGAGTGATTACATGGAAATTTGTATTTTGGCATGACATATGACAAAATCACCAAAATTTAAATCACCAAAACTTAACAAGAGACAAAAAATGAATTATTTATTATAATAGAAAGGCAAAAAGAAGTTTGATACAATATCAAATGAAATTATATATTCGTATGCCAATTAATTCGTTGATTCAATAATTTATTCACTCACTCACTCACTCACTCACTCACTCACTCACTCACTCACTCACTCACTCACTCACTCACTCACTCCTTCCTTGATTCCTATCTCACCTTGTTCGGCTGGTGAAGGTGACTGGAGATGGGTTTGGGAGTGGCGTACTTGCGGAATGACATGGCCTCAGTGGGATGTTGTACCCAGGAGGAGTTATAGATGGTGTTGTACTCTCCTGTCAGAGTCTCGTTCTGTTTCCTCCACTTCTCCTGCAGCTTCGGGTACAGGCCCCAGTTAGTGGAGTTACCTGCAGGGTAAAGAGAAAAAGAGGTTTAAGTCTGTGTTAGCTGTGGTAGGAATGGGGGCAATGTGCAACAACATTCTTAACTGGCCATGAGACAAAAAAAAAACTTCACGTACAACTTCTTTAATATTTTTTGCTGAAGTCTGCACAATTTTAAATGATTCTGTACCATTACTGTGAAGGATTCAACTCTTTGCAATACTTATAGTTTATAGTTTCCTTATAATAATATGCTTTTTTATATCAAATTTGTTGGTTGGCTATCATACATGTACATTTAATCTAACATGTTGGCCTGTAATGTAAGAACCCTCCTGTAAGATGGCACCGTCCATCAGCAATGTCACTCAGCCGCAAACTTTTCAGTCATTTCCCCACCCTTTCGGGTCTGAGAGTACCTTCACTTAACTTAAGTTTGCTGTCTTCAAAAGGGAAACATTGAAAACTCATATTAGAACATCCTAGTAAACACTCAGGGCTCCTCATCTTATTCTCTACAAAACTGAAATTAGGCAAATTTCCCCACCTTGTAGGGGGTAGTCAGACTTCTCCGGAGCCCAGGCGAGTCTGTGGGAGTCCCAGCTGCGGAGTTTGGGCAGCGTTCCCTCGTCCAGCTCACGCTTGTTAAACTGCTGGTCGTACCATGAGATCATGTTGTTGGAGTAGTGCTTGCCATGGTGGTCAAACACTAGCGACTTGGGAAGGCCCTGCAAAAAATAACCATAAACTCAGTCAGTCAAATTACCGGTATTGTTGTTACCATACAGTCTGTGATGCTTGCTATGGTGGTCAAACACCAAAGTTTTAAAGGCCCTGAGAAAAAAGAAAATTTTTGTATTAACCTTCTTCCTCAGCTGCCTATAACCCCATGGCCAGTACAAATTTGGTGCCAAATAGCAAAGTGAAGGTTAAACATTTATTTCAATCATCATGATGGCACTGTAAGTCATGCTGGTGGGATATATTATAATTGTGTTAAATGTCAATCTATAGGAGAATTTTGAAGGCGTGAAACAAAACATTTAGCATTAAAAAATGAAACAAGCAATGTCCATTATTAGTGCTTTAAAGTTTTTGTAAATCACATTTTTGAAAGTTTTAAAGCTTCCGAGATTTCACAACAAACAGCAGGTATTGAGCAAACTGATAATGGTATACTGTGAACAGGTGGTAAGCTATCCTTTATTTGCATAAAGGAAACAATGGGCAGGCTGGACCTTCCCATACATGTATCGTGGAGTTGGATTTCAAGCTAATTTTTCTGGCATGTTTGGATAGTGCCTCATATCACCCTTCTTAGTGAAGGGACTGCAGACTGAACTAGTCAGATCAAAAAGGCCTCTTCTTCTTTTCCAATGACCCGCTAGAGGTGAACCAGTCAGTTTATTTGACTTGTGCATTTCTGTACCCTCCCATCACCTCACCTGACCCCAGTGGTTTCTATGGTGTGTTGTGAAATACAGGGTCCCTTTCTTTCTCTGGTGTACGGTTCACACTGGGGATAATCCACTGTGGGAAACTTTAGTCAAAGAATGTACCAGTCTGCATGAAAGCTGACACTCATATAGATTATAGAAGTGAAACATTCCCCCTTGGAATATGTGAAGAAGTTATAGTACAGTTTGCATCCAGTCTTTAAGATTATCATGCAATTTTTCTGTCAATAATTAAGGACTTTCAAATACTGACAACTACAGGCTGAGATTCTAAATACCATAAATTTAATTATTTTTGTGATGACTTAATTTGGTGGAAGGAGGGAAAAGAAAGTTTTTTTTGGTCTTTTAAGTGTAGTACAGTATTTATACATTGGAAATGCATATTTTTGTTGTTATGAATTTGTGTGGTAGAGTTCAATGCAAAAATAAAACCATCGCAAAATGATCATTAGTTTCTATTCAGCAGGTGGGGAACACCTTATCTATTATTCATAATCATCCAATAAAAAGGAAACATACTTCCTGTCCATGTTTATACAAAAGAATGAGCATAATTGGTTTGGTCTGACATATCTGGGCCAAATTTTATGGTTTGGGCCATATATTATTCATGAGGCTTTTTTATGCCTGTATAAAATGGCTTATCCAATACCAATATAGGTCAACTAAGGAAAGGGACGATACTAGACTGAGTGTTCTGTATTTTAGGCAAGATGTGGTTTTGGCTTTTTAAAAAGCCATACTTATTTTGTTCCTTTTTTTTCTAGAATTAAACTTTTTAAAAGAGATGCACTGAAAAGATAGTGATCTGCATGAAAACACTCTGACTAAAGTATGTTGTAGGGAAGTTTGATGCAAGTTTTCGTGCCAATACTGTTTTCAAGTCCTCTTTCCTCTTGCAAAAGTCTTTTTGCCCTCTGTTTGAAATCTTATCATATTTTGTCTGACCCTGACCTCTTCCCTGACTTGCAATTGACCTCATTGAAAAGTGGCCAGAAGGTCTATTTGAGTATTTAATGAATAAACAATGGCTCAAAGTTTGAGCTTTTGTTTACTCTAGTCAAACAAAACAAACAAACAGTCTGCATGTCTGTCCCCTCACCTCGTTCCTCTGTAGCGCTGCCCTGCGGATGGTGATGTCAGGTTTGTGGCCCTTCCAGTCCCTAAAGTCCAGCCTGTGTGTGCTGGTGTGTCGGTAACGCCCCTTCTCAAACTGTGGCATAAACAAACAAACAACTGTCAACAAAGGTTTAGTTTTAATTATAACTTCAACTAACTTACTAACCCTAAAGTCTAGCCTGTGTACACTGGTGTGTCAGTGATGCTCCTTCTCAAACTCAAAGAGAAAACAAGAAAAATTCTGTTTTTTCTTTGAAAATATTAGATTATACCTTAAACTACCAGGGCCAATTTTTTCTTAAATTGTCACAGGGCTGATGTATGTCAGACAGGCAAAGTAGACAGTATTTACTAATAGATAAAAAAAAACACTTTAAATCTATGCTTGATGACTATGATGTAAATCAAGAGTCTAAATAGTCTGTTCAAACATTCTAGAACAGGTTCACAGGATAACATTCGTTACAGAAAGGTGACTGGTGACTGTAAATTTTTTCTTAACAATTGAAAATCTATCTTTTAAATTTCATGTTATTTTATTACATCTAACGTCTAATGTATTTAAAGTCAGGAAAAATTTACACAGTCAATTTTCTCTGTTATATCTTCAGTGCGCCCTCCTGAGTGGGCCATAAACATTACACCAGGCAACCAAACAAGCGTTGTTTATCTGGTACACAACAAAACAAATGACAACTGTTACTGTAACAATTTCTCTTTGCTGTTGAAAAAAATCCTTTAAAAATCGCAAACTTTTTGAATTGTCATTCTGACTTTTGCAAATACATGTATGCTCGTAAGATATGGGAAAGTTTTTAATTTGTTGACATTTTGTTATAGAAGTCAGATTTACTAAGCCATAACGTTATACGTTACAAGCGGCTATATCTTTTGGAGTTTCAACTTAACACAATCTATAGTTATTCAAAAAGTTTTGTTCTTGCCTGAGATAGTCGGAGTCCTTTCTTTTGACTCTAATTTGTTAGTAAGATCGGTTAACAGTCCCGAAATCAAATTATAGACGACTCTTTTCTTTGACTGAAGCGGTTCATACTGCTTCATTAGAGTTGTTGAAGTTTAACGCTTAGCTTTGCTTGTTTTGCTTCAACATTATCTTATTCTAGGGTGCCAGTAAGAAAGTTTCAACTAAAACTCAGGTAACCCGTGGTGTTCAGGCCGTGAAATGGCTAATGTCCCACCCGCTAAAACCGATTTGATCCATGCACTCGTGCAGAAAAACGATGGAAACAAACATCACCAAACCAAAGTTTCCGCCCCGCCAAATTTCACCAAAGATTTCTTACCTGATATCTCTCTTCTGACCAGTTTCCGATGAGAACTCTGTTGGCGTAACGTTGCTCTATCCTCCAACCGGGCATGTTCCACTTTCTGGGGTCTCCCTGCGCCATTTTTAGGCTTAGAAAGGCGAAAATTGGGACAGCAAATGTCGCGTGGAAGTGTGTTTAGTCTCGTGTCGCGCCTCAGCTGACGGCTTGACCTTTTGACCTGTAGCACCTTTCACTCTTTGTATATCCCTCCGCTTAGAACTTATAACATACTTTTACAAATCAAATTGCAAAAAAATATGCAACAAAAATACTCTGAACATAAACCCGAATCATAAGATGTTATAATATAAACTTTTGATTCTTCATGCTCAAAACATCGGTAAGTGATTGGAAGAACTACTTTGCACGCCGCGGATTCGAACACCAGCGTCCTCCGCCCTGTTGCTATGGAAGGCACGCCACTTGTTGCTAAGATAATGTAAACAATGCTGAGACGAATTACGGGCGAGCGTTGTTTGGTCGTGTTTTGTTTCTTGTACGCGTATTGTTTTGGTTCTCCCAATTACTACAGTAAGGCCAATCTTTTGACTCCCTTTTCTGTTTAACTATTGAAGCAGAAAGTTAGATAATCGTCGATTCCTTTAAAACATTTCAAGCAGCTGCAAACAAGTTTGAAGCTCATTGGTTTAAAAATCATGCAAGGTGCTAACTTATTTTTGTTCCTTTACTCTTCGTGTCATTTTTCTATTACTTTTCCCCTAGGTTTGAAAGTCGCCCCATACACGTCTTGTATATATGCATGTACTAACGCACTAAATTCACTTGTCTTTTTTAAAAGACTGATTAAAATCAGTTATTTAACGTTATCGGTTATGTTCCTTAGTGTCCTTTCCTTCATTTCCCCTTGTTTTATTTATACCGGTCACTTGTTTTGTAACTTACACATATGCAGCTGCTAGTAATCCGATACTATATTGGGCTGAGCAGTACGAAAGAAGAAGATTACATATCAACGTTACGAATACGAACTGTATGGTTACCATCATAGAGAAGTTCCCATACCTTGAACACCTAAATGCAAACGATAAATTTATATTTTTGATGCGTCTAGAGAAACCCTGCATCACAAACATGATCTGTTCCACATTTTCCATTGTACAAAGAGCGAGAAGAAGTTGACCACTCTGTATCAGCTCAGTAACTAGAACACTTTCTTGCCTAGTATAGTACCCTTGAATGTTATGTATGTCTAAGTCAAATAGTGTATCTTTTGTCTCCACCTTTCTACATTACGTTTGTTATGTGTCTGTTAAGTCTTGACCTGTACCTAGCCAGTCGTGGCATGAATGTACAATAAAGGTATTTCATTTCATTTCATTGTGTAGTAGCTAACCACTTTTTATGGCTTTGCATGACCAAACATGACCCAGTTTTCTTTCCGCTCTTCTCAACCGTTTGTTTGTTGTTGGTTGTTTGTCTCCACTTAAGGGCTGGGTGCAAAGCTATCAAGACGCGATAGTGGATGGAGATTTCTTTGTCTTTCTTGGGATCGTAGCTCTTAAAGTGTCTCTAGGGGTGAAGAAGTTTACGTAAGCTGTCTGGGGTTCGTCCATCCATTCATCTGCTTGAATGCTCTTTCATTCATTCATCCCTAAGTCCCATTTTTAGCCCTTTAAAATCGACCATTAAGTTTTACTAGCCACTATTTATTCGCGTTGTGCGGCGTTGCTACGTAATTAACGCGGAAACTCAGACACTCAAACTATTTTACTGACTAAAGATTCATCTGCAAATGACATTGGTAGCAATGCACAATACCAAATGCTCGAGCTCCTATATTCTTTGTATTTCTTGAACGACCCTGATTTTCATTATTTTTTATTGAGTACTGCAGATGATCTTTCTCATAAATTTCACCCCATAAAGCTTTTGTATTAAAAAGGCTGTGATTTTAGAGACCTAAAGATATGGAGATAATATGTAACGTTATAAGATGGGTGATATGACTATGCTAACGTTAGGAAATTCTGCTTTGCTGTTCAACATTTTATTTTCGGGAAGTACAAAGTAGATTTTACAGCGAAAAGGCGTAGTTGGTAATAACTTCAACTGCATCGAGTATACAACACGATACAATGTTATTTTACTCAGGGTCCGCTACCTGTGTTTATAATGTGAACCGCGGAGTGGCGTTGCTTAATAAGATCGAAGTCATCAGTGGGTCATCCAAGATGGCGGCCACCCGTTCACGGAAAGTCGTAGAGTTGTTTTACGACGTGATTTCTCCTTATTCCTGGGTCGCTTTTGAGGCAAGAAACTTTTACTGTTTGTTGGCTATCTATAGAATATGTTGCGTAATGAAAAGACCTGTTGCGATATCCGTGGTTTTTAGATATAGAGAGTTAAAGTGCAACAAAAAGTGCAATAAAAGTAACGTTACCTTAACGTTGACGTTTTTACATTTAGAAATTGCATAAGACAAAAGATTTAAGTTAAACTTTGTGTTTGAAACACTATATGAACAATTGCGTGTTAATAATGATATTCAATTCGACCAGTTCTTTGCAAAAATCGCCCTAAAATTTACGTTGACTGCACGGCAGGTGCTTTGCAGGTACCAGATGAGATGGAACATAGACCTGCAGCTCCGACCTTTCTTCATAGGGGGCGTTTTTAAGGAGACTGGTAAGCTCAACTCATGACAGAAATTCGTGGCATAGATTAGCGTTAATGTTATGTCTAGTTGAAGAAAGAGAGGCGTCTTGTCATTCAAAAGATGGGGAAAATTCGAACAAATGTCGGACACGTGCGTTTTCTTCTTATCACAGGTAACAAACCGCCTGGCCTTGTGGCGGCAAAATACGCCTACGTTCAACACGATCTGAAGAGACTAGCGGACTTTTACAAGGTAAGCCGGGTAACCTGTCGTGGGTAGCTTGACACATTTTTTTAATGTCCTCTTTCCTTATGTCTATGTCTTAGTAACGTCGAAAAGATACAACAACAAAAAAATGAAATATTTTAAGAAAACTCTTGTCTCTCTTGTCTAGTTTTCCTCTTTTTTTTTAAATTTTGTGAACGCCTGTTCTCCTGAAAAAAAAATCACGTCCTCCGAGGCTCTGGCCTGTCTCTATGCCTGGCATGGTTGTTAGCGACAGTACGGAGCCGGTTGTAACTCTGTAGGACGGCACCCGGCCAGGCTGCCGAAGCTCTACGACTCAGTACATACGTACAGTGCCCGGTACAGTGCCGAGTCATACATTCCGCAAAAAGCCAGCAGGTGCCGGCTTGTCGTATACTTCGCTATGTACTGCCGCAAATTCACATTACCAGCTTTGTATTCCTGTGGCTTAGTAGTATTTTATTTTTGGCCAGAATTTTTTATTCGCCCGCGCGCTCTAGTTTGGGGGTCTTCAGAGGATGTCATCCATAAAATTAAGTCGATGTGGAAACATTCTCCCCGCAGATCCCAGTAAAGATGCCCCCCATGGAGAGACTGATGAAGAGAGAGAACGTGAACTCTAACCGCCTGCTCACAGCCGTGAACCTGGACTGTCCGGAACACCTGGAGAATCTGTCCAGGTGAGAAGGGTTCTTTAATACGACTCACCTGGAGGCCTTAAGACGCAAACCTATAGTAAAAAAAAAACCGTTGCATTTTACTCACAATTAGACTTAAACTGACGTAAGTTCAACTGTTGTTAACTTTAAGTCGAATCCAACGGTTAGGATTCCTGTTTAAAAACTGCTGAATACTTTAGAATGATAAGTACGGAAAGTAAGGCTCAAATTGCTGAAAGAAAAACACACCTTTATAATATTTTGAATGTCTTTTTGGTTGACATACGTGTTATTAAATTTATTTTCTTAGAGAGCTGTGGATGCGAGTGATGTCACGTGACCAGGACATTTCCCAGCCGGCTAGCCTGGAAACCGCAGCCACGGCTGCAGGCATCCCGTCAGACACGACCCCACAGCTCCTCAGTAGAATCAATGATGACGACGTGAAAGCCGCACTGAAGGCTACGACAAATCAGGCGTTGTCTTACGGGGCCTTTGGTGCCCCCACCATACTGGCACACGTGACGGAGACTCCCGTCATGCTTTGGGGGTCGGACAGGTTTCCGCTGCTGGCGCACATTCTGGGGGAACAGTGGGAGGGGCCTCTCACAGAGATGGCTAAATATTGAACAGAAAACAAACTAACAAACAACGGATGCTACCAGCAGGGATATGCCACTCAGAGAAATGACTGTGTACCTTAATGAATTGTGGAAATAGAATAAATCTATAAGATAAAGATGTTTCCACTCACGTGGCTATGACGTAAGTACTGACGTCCGCCATATTGGATGGTTACATTTAGAAATTGCTAAATTGTTTCACGAGAAGCGTTGATCTACAGTAGTCATACTTAGATGTTGCGAACGTCGGATAAAATATATTTCAGTGCGTGTGTTTTTCGAATTTCTAAACTGCCAAAGTTCCTATTTTCCTGAAGATAACTTTGCCTAAACTTCTAATTCTCGGGAGTTTCGTACTGAGGTTGAGATTGAGTCCTTACGGCAATGCAGACTGCTGTGGTCTTATCACTCCAAATTAAACGCATTTTGTTAATGTAGAAAAATAATGTCGTGTATTGACTTAATGGCCAGGAAACTTGACAATGTACAGACCTGTCCTTTATTGAGTATTCAGCTATTAGCAGCAAGCAGTTTCTTTTATTGCTACATCACGGACTGAGTGCTAACACTGGCGTCTCACGAGACGAACAGATGCCTGCCACATGTACTACATTGCCTATTTATTTGTGTAGACATGAGTGTCAGCGGCTTTATCGTATTATCGTAAGATTTTACAGTTTTCTTTCAAGAAGTGGACAAAGACATTAATTATACCCGAACGGGTTGGGTTGGGAAAGAAAGGTACAGAGACCGACTAGGTAAGTTTGCAGAATGTGATTATTAATCTTCTAAGGGGCTACGTGTAAATCCCCTCGTACATCCGGAAATAATGCAGATCATAATGCTGGCCATTCAGCATTATTGCTTTATGACCTTTTTACGACAGGGTGTGGTAAATGCGTTTATCTTGTTTAATATCTCCCTAAAGAGAACATATGAGTCATAACTATAAAGTAGCATTGTCACGCAAGGAAAGGTAACAGATAGAAGTCCGTCCTTGGCTTGGCCAGGTCATTGCCACATGAAAAAAACGTTCTGTATCTGAAAAGCCTGTATTACCGCCCCTCGGTGTAACACACCAGGTTCGCAGGCACACGGCACGGCGGCAGCTGGCTATATTACGCCGAACGACTTGTTATTACACCTAAACCCTACCTTAACTCTTAACAATGTTTAAATCTATATAGTAATGATGCCCCAGCTGTATGTACTTGTTGGCAGCGAATTCCACTGTACAGAAGTTGTATTAAGAAATGGCAAGTATACGTAGTTGAACACTTGAATCCGTAGCGAAGCCGCATTGCACCGCATTGCACCATGCTTCACCTCAGTTGAGGGTAACAAAAGAAGAAGAGAGAAGTACAACAATTGCAAGAAAGCGCTTGTAGTCGTGCAGTGTGACTGTACATGTGTTATCTTCCTCAAGATATTGAGTGCCAGTTTTGATAGAAGTCTCGTGCCTTTGAATACCTCATAGAATTTGGCCAGAGCCCAATGACACCTATCGGCGTGTGCTGAACTGCAGTCCCATCCACTAGGCATGCAAGTCCTCCTACGATTCGGCAGAAAGCGTACCGCGTACATAAATAAAGAACGGACTGGATAGTTTGCTGCTCTCTACTCAATCAGAGATTCCCATTGATCAAATGTACAGACCAAAACACAAATATGAAGTAGCAGGCAGGGCCAATAATGTGTTTGCCTGACAAACTTTATGTTGGACACGTTACGGCACATGTTGGTCTACTGTATTGTGGTGTGGATGCTACCGTGACGGGTTACTATGGATCTTTTCTAGACAAATAATTACACCTATTAAGAGAAAGGTGTGTTCCTATAGGCATGACTCATCAGTTATCACTTAAAACCGTGGAGTATACTTGTAAATATGACAACTGCTTCTAATAACCGGTCTATGGTCGTAATTTGGGTAATGGTATGGTAACATACATGTTGTGTACCAGCTGCGTAAACTGGGCTTTACTTAGCCTCCGTAGCAGGCTTATAGAACTGGGGGTTTGGTGGTCTTCGGCTGTTTTCTGATTAGCCCAGTTCTTAAAAAAACGGGGGTAGTTCAACCAGGCCGGCTATATATATATTGTCTATATGCAATCAGAAAATAGCATATAAAAGCTCCCAAAGACCCTGAAGACCCCCAGAACCCCCAGTTTTTGGCATGCTATGGAGGCTAGGCTATACTATGGTTTGAACTACTTAAACCGGCAAGGATCTCTACTCTTTCCGATAATTAAGAGTGTAAAGGGTTCTTAAATGTTCTTGAGGTGTGACTGTCATCAAGGATGAGACTCACTCACTTTTCACTTCGCCGTCATAACGACTTATACTTAGTCTAATGACCTAACAAATACTCTACCCCCTGGTAGTCTGGAACGGTCCACTATTTATAATTGAGGGGGTGCTCAAGCATATTGACTTGAGATCCAAAACATTCTCTTCGCTACAATGCACTCATTTACCTTTGGTTTCTTGGTAAACATACTTCACTTTAACACATTCCTGTATCCGTTTTAACAGAGTCCAGGAAACAATCGTTGCTTTCTGTGGACGAATCACACACACCCCTCCGTAACCTAAGCGCGTCGGCTCGCCCGCCGTCACTTGACAATTACCTGTTACTCAAGTTCCCACCTTCACTTAGTCACACCTGCACACATTCGTCAACGCCAGAAACCTTCCGTAACGCCGGCGTCACAGTATTGTACAAACGACCTTCGTACGAATTCGCTGATCACCAAGAGGTCGCAAGGCGTGCCTTTTCCCTGAACATCTACCCGGTGAAATTGGACGTGGCTTGCGGTCACCTACGATCACCTACACTCGCGTTTTGATAGAAAAGACGGTCTTACTGCTGTCGAACTTAATGTCCTTTTGATGAGATCTCAGACTGGTCGGGTGAGCTACTATTATCTTCCTGCTATGTAACGCCGACTCTTTCCCAGACTGCAACAGTTGTTCTGAGTGGTGAGTAGAAACATCGCTGCCGAGGATATGTGGTGGTTTTCCGTACTACTTCTGTCGGCGTGTTGGGCCTTCTCGGCGGGCCAGACTCCAACTGCGACCGCACAACCTTCCGTACAAGGTACGTTACACTTCAGCCACGTAATTGAACAGTGCAATGCCGTATATGTCGTGACACTAGCCAGGCTAATCTCCAAGCAGATCATACGGTGGCAAGGGAGTATACATTAGCCAGAGGAGTGTCCATTAGCCAGCGAAGTTCTGCCGACAGTCGAAACGTTCAAATTTAAAGGCTGGCTACTAGTGGTCACTCACTGCCTTGCCACCGTATGATCTGTTTGGAGATTAGCAAGGCTACTAAATCGTTCCAGGGAAGACTCTAGAATGCTGAAGTTGTTCTTAGTCGTAGGTGCATATAGTATAAGGGCTGTAATGGCTATGGTGTTTTTACGCACACCTTGTGTCACATTAATATAAGTGTTTTTAAGTGTACGATGTGTGACAAAAAACAAACAAACAATTACGATCTGCACGGAAAAAAGACCAGGGGCTTTCATAAGGTCATCATTATCATCATAGCTTATCAGGTCATTATCTGTTAAAATTATAATTTATCGATCACGGATGAATTCATTATTTAATGCAAAATACGCTTCTATATGTCACGTTAACCTCCTTGTTAGTACAATGCGTATACCATCGTGTCTGATATGTTGACACTCTCGTGTGTTTACCTATGCGTGCAGTAAGAGCTAGGATTATCGCAGTTAGAGTTTTAATCCGGTGGGATGTGAGTAGAGACAAAAGATGCCTCTCCATGGAGACTATTTGTTTTAGAGAGTGGGCTTAAAACTTCAAAAACTTAACAAACAACCGCTTGAAAATGTTGTTTTTTTACCTAGATACTAGTAAGCAAATATGCAGTTGCCATATAATAGAAAAAATAACAAAAATACGCCAAACAGTTGAAGCTGGTATGACAACAAAAAACGGTTGCCCAGGAAATAGTCGTCAATGAGTAGTCTGCTTTCTTTTGGCACGATTATTTCAGCGTTATTGTGTCCAATAATTTGGAGCCTGCAGCTGTTCCAACAATTTGGAACTTGTTTGACAACAAAAAGTGGTCGTCATGGCACTATAATTGTCAAGTTGTCCTTATCGCTTTTACGCAACTATTCCCTCATTATCCCTGGCGCATTTCACAGAAACATCCCCAGCGTTATTAGAATTCTTTCACGTGAACTAAAAAGGCTTGGTGACTTGCTCTACGCATTGTGCGTTGATGTCCTGTTGGCCGAAATAGGCGTAGTGCCACATTGTGAAGATACCGCATACATACTAGTCATACTGCTAGCTCTTCCATTTCACAGGGTAGGGCAGCTGGATGCGTATTTCTTCTGCTAAACTCTGTCGTGCGTTGTAAACTTGCCAGATGCACGGTCTCCTTTACGTAGGCCGTCGTTCTATTTTGAGATATAACAATTACCAACTCGGTCTGCCTAAACTGCTGTCTCCGACCGTGGTATTGGACCGAGTTGACCAGGGTGCAGGGCCGGGTTGGTAATGGTCCGAGTCGTCCGAAATTCCGGTTTTGAATCCGTAGAATTGTCAAACAAGCGTTGACAGAACCAACCACTTAGTAATACAAAGGTCTACGACAGCTTTTTTTTTGTAGCCAGTCAGCTAAATTTTGTACAGCATTATGTACGACTGTCCCGAATAGTAGTTTTGCGATCGTAGGACGATCGTACGACAAAGATGACTGCACACTCTTGGTTAAAGCTACGACAATGTATGTGCATGAAAACAATATTTCTGCAACCACCGTAGAAGTTTATAAGAAGCAAGATTTTCGTAAAACTTGACTGACAAAAATAACCCTAAATAAGCTCCTTGCTGTAACCACCATACATGCCATTGAGTGTACAAGTTAGAATATAAGAGTTGGCATGTTTAAGGTTTCAAAATCTTTTGAGTCAATAATACTGATGATAAAATAATCGATAATATCAATTAACAGGTACAAACGAAATGCTTTTAGAGCTAGAATAACTCAGTTGGGTTGGGTTGGTGGGTTATTTTGGTTCAAAAATGTTTTCTGCGAGACGATTTTGACTCTGCTACGCCTTTTTGAACCCTCTTAGACAAGTAAACAACCCTCGTTCATTTGTCACAGTTTTGTAACAATTCTTGTCACATCTGAAAACACGTTTGGCAACATTAGTAGGCGTGCCGTGGGAGGGATAATCTGTAACTATGTATGTATACGTGTGTCTTTGTCTTTAGTTGTTTAATTGTCATGGCAACGTGACAAAATCGTGGATGCCTTAACTGAAGTGAGTCACTGCCGTATACTTATTATTTCTATCCGCTAATAAATATTTGGAAAAAAACTATTATTATAGTAAATAGATCCAAGCTAAGTGCAGAACATGCCGATATATAAGCTTAGGCATCCAGGTTATGAGATAAACAAGAAAACAATTATATACTCAAGAAACGTGATAGATTATGAAAACTGACAAACGTTTCAAGTACATTGAACTATCCGCTACTACGAAAATGTAGTGGACGCTTCTTTAAACGTCGACAGTTTTCAAAACCTATCCAGTTGCTTATCTGTTTTGTTTTGCTGTGTAAGTGTAGTTCAGTCCACGAGGTAGGCAGGCGTTTATTCTAATCCCTATGGATCTCGCTTGAGTCAACAAACTCAATCATTTGTTACAATATTGTAACAATAGGGGTCAGTAAGATCGCCACAGTGTGACAGTCTCGGGGTATCCAGTTTAGGGCGTGTCTTTGTTTCAGCTGTGCGAAGAAAACTTGTTCCGCTGTTTGCCGACAAAAATTACGTCACCGAATACTGAACAAATTTAAACGCGGCGAAGTCTAGCACGGGCGTTCAGGTAGAACAAAAGCCAATGCCAGGTCGCGCTTCAAACTAAGCGGCCCGATGTAAAGTTGATCCCCGTATAGGATATACCATGGCCCCGTTTCCACTTGATGCTGCGACCGGCGAAAAACCTCTCAGCGACCAAAGACCGCTCAGAGGTTTCTCAGCGATCGCAATTTCATAGATAAAGGACCATTTTGAACGTTTCATGTGTTTCATTGGCCTTTGAATTTTACGTTCACATCCGTTTATAAAGTCAAGATCACACACATCGGATTTTTGTCGTTGGGCGATATAGCTATAGTGGAAAGGGGGTCTAAGGGGGGGGGGGGGGTCTAAGCTAGCCTCTACCAGGCTTTGAGAGCGGGTATAGAAAGAGTAGAAATTGGCAAAATAGACGGATAACAAGCCAGGGGAGTTGGTCCGGAAAGGGAGTACAGTTGCCGCACTCTTTGCAGTTATCCTGGTTACCAAATCTTTTCACAGGAAAGAAACGCGATAGAGAGACTAAAATAGGTTCGGTAAGCTGGCCACTTTCCAGCCACTTCCTAAGAGGCTAGTGACAAGTTTGAGGCATTTAATTTTCACTGCGGTAGAGCGATCTCTCAACTTTTTAGTTGGTCGGTCTTGGCCTCCAGTGGAAAGGGTGTGTAAGCGATCCGTGTGTTAGAGTTACATGTCTTCATTTGTTTTTCACGGTAATGTAGGTCTGAGAAGGCTGGCGTTAAGTATGGCGTCAGGGACAAGGTTGGGCGAGTCAGCACGTATACACCTCCTCTGTAGTTCAATACCACAGAACGGATTATTTTCCGAATTCTTTGCACGCAGAAGTTCGCCCTTAGAACAGGCTGGCACGTGTGTGTCCCCAGAACATTCTTCTAAACCTAACCCTTTAATATCGATATCACCAGGGTACATGATTTTATTCTATATGCATATAGTAATCCAAACGTGTCAACGAAATAAGCAAACCTCCTTTGTCTTTTTCTTTATATACAGGAGAGTTCTTTCGAGTAGTGACATTTGAGGTAAGGCATCTGACTCTTTTCCATTAGCTACATTCTCTACTTCTTTTTGTCATCATTTTAATGCCTCTTCATCCTTTCACTTGAAATAGAACAGCGAAATAAAACATTTTTTCACTACAAAGAAAGATACGTTGAGGAAGATCATATTCTTCACACAATTTAGCACTTGAAAACCAGGAAAGGTCGTGAATACCTTAAATTTTTCAGATTACAACATGTAGAATAAAAAAAAGAAACGAAGAAAACTATTCATCACTGAAAAAAGACAGCTGGCTAGATGTATAACTTACTCAGTTTACTGATGGTTGACCGATGTGTTTAGGTACAGGACTACAGGTACAGGCACAGCTTGAAAAGTTGGATTTACCAAAGGTTGTAAACTCAGGTAATGTTTACTATGTACACAGTATCTGGCTTTACAATAGTAGTAAATAAAAGTCAAGTGCAGTAATATAATTTCATTGACAACCCTTGTTAAGTCCGGTATCACCGCACTGGACTTTTATTTCCTGCAGCTGCCATTGTAAAATTCAGAAGTGTTTATCAAAAAGACAGAGTAAACATTACCCAACTCTCCTTGTATCGGTAAATCTAAGTTTTCGTCCAGTGAGGTCCAGGTCCAGGTCCATGTGCGTACGTGTACAGAAAATATGTTTAGATACAGGTTCAGGTTCGGACATGTACATTAAACGTGTTTAGGTACACAGCTCTACTTACCGCTTTACTCCCACAGGAACATCCCTTCGCCATAAAAAGCACGACTAACAACGTGACGACCTGGCAGGGGTTCTGTATGGACATGCTGGACTCACTCGCCAACAAGCTGCAGTTCACCTACAACCTGACAGAGGCGTCAGACGGGCACGAGGGGACACTGCACGATACCGGCTGGACGGGGACGGTGGGAGACATCGTGGAAGGGGTCAGTACTGCTGTATCTACACCGTACCACAGCCGTACTTCATCCAGATAGTGCCCAAGCACTTTTCTGGATAACCCACGCATATCCGGCCTAGGGCAAAAATCCACTTCCAGAACCGTGCCTGATCCCAAACCTAACCCTATTAAGGCACAGAACTAGACAGGCACAGTTCTACACAGTCTAACTACCAGAATTCAACGTGAAATGATGTTAACTTTGCGTGTATTTACTTCATTTTCATCCCAAAGGTTATGTTTCTTGGTCCACTGGTAGATATTCTGATTCAGGAAGGCGGGTTTTCTAGTTTAATCCATGTCTGATTGGAAGTCTGACCATAATATTAAATGGCAAAAAAATCAATCGTTATTGTATGCCATGTTTATCAATTCTATATAGAAGGCAAATTAAGGAGTCTAAAAAAAAATCTACCCATTCTGTCCCAGAGAGCGGACATGATCGTCGCCGCCCTGACCATTACGTCACACCGGGAGGACGCCATCGACTTCACCAAGCCATATATGGAGTACGGCGTCGGTATGCTAATGAAGGTGCCTGACGTACACGCGACATACAACCTATGGGCGTTCCTCGAACCGTTCAAATTAGAGGTAAGCTGCAAAATAGATTTTTAATCCGTAAATTTTTTATTGTATTTTCATGATTAAGAGAGTAATATATACATGTAGCGTTTTGGAATCGCACTAGAACAATTCCTATGTACTAGTATTCTTCAAAGTCAATTTCATTCATTTTTACACAATATGATGAGATACCGATTACTAATAATGCCCATCCTTCTCATGACATTACCCATGACGCAGGTCTGGATGGCCATATTTGGCTCCTTAGTGGGCGTGGCTGGCCTGATGTTCCTGCTCTCTGCAATGCGGAGTAGACTCACCAGGGGCGCTCTTGAGGATGAGGACGTGAATCTGGGAACAACCGTGTGGGTGACAGTAGGCTGGATAACTGGCGGTGAGTTAGAAATACTGGGCATTGGTCTCTGCATAGCTTCCGAAAGGAAGAGATAGTGTGTGTGTGTGTGTGTGTGTGTGTGTGTGTGTGTGTGTGTGTGTGTGTGTGTGTGTGTGTGTGTGTGTGTGCGTGCGTGTGTGTGTGTGTGAGGGGGGGGGAGTGAGAGAGAGAGAGAGAGAGAGACAGAGAGAGACAGAGAGATGAGACGAAGAGACAGAGAGACTGAGAGACTAAAAGAGAGACAGAGAGAGAGAGACGGAGACGGAAAGAGAGAGACAGGGAAAGACAAAGAATGACGTCAAAAAATGCATTGAAAAGGATAGAGAGAAACAGACTGGGAGAGATTCTAAATCCAAACCTAACATCATCTCTTGTTCCAGACATCGCAGTTCCTGGCGGCATCTCCATCCGGGTCCTTGCGCTAGCCTGGGGCATCTTCACCCTGGTCGTGGTGAACACGTACACCGCCAACCTGGCCGCCGCTCTCACCGTCAAGTCCCTGCAGACGTCCATCAACTCTCCGGACGATCTGGTGACGCAGACGGCGATCACGTACGGGATAGAGGAGGACACGGCCTTGTACAGTTTCCTGCAGGACCAGGACGGTAAGATTGGCACCATATCGATAGCACGTCGGCAGAACGTACTGCGCCTGCGCAGAACCCTGGATTTTCGCGGTTTTCGTAGGATGTTTGGTCACTGTTGCATCAGAATTTTGCCTGTTGCAGAGAATATTTTTTCCAACACAACAATTGGAAACTACAGGCGGGATGTTAACCTTATATGTGCGAATACAACCTTATATGAGACGTTCTACCGAAGTGCTATGTACAATACATTACGGGTTTCACGCAGGTGCAGTACGTTCTGCCGACGTGCTCATATCGATTGGTCCGTTGTTCATGACGTCAGGGGTCACGTGATTTTGTTTTTGCCGCCATCTTTGATGTCACGTTTTGTCGTCTACAGTTTTCTGGGAAATTCGCACTTATTGTGTAATAAGCTCCATTTAACCAGCTTATCTTATTATAGTTGTCACGGATGCGTAGAAAGTTGTAACCACAGTAAAAGACGCTGAAAAGTACAAATTAAAGTTGTTTCGTCAATTTTTTAAGTCCACAAAATAACCCAAAACCTGCTCTGTACAATAGCACGAGAGATTTTACTGTTCCAAATGCATCGTAAAAATGCTTCTTTCCAGGTCTTGGAACGACATACGACAAGATCTGGACGCAGATACAGACGCACTCGGACGGGCTGAAGACGAGTCTGGACGAGGCTGTGACCAGGGTTCGCCAGGGTGACTACATCTTCATACACGACGGACCGTGGGTGGAGTACGAGGTAATGTTTATCTTGGAATATTCGCATTGATTTCATTTTCGTGGTGCCTTTCCAGTGCCGAATCATAACACATTCGGAAATTCAATCCTCGTAAAAAAAATACAGAGATTAGGTTTCGAAAAACATCTGAAAGTGCTTTACCATTAGCTGATTGCAATGACGTGACTTTAACGTGACTTTTATTGTATAACGGACAAACATGGCGGATGTCAAGGTAGCACGACCTCAGACCTGTTGTAATGGCGTCACGTGAGTTACGATAAAAGCAAGTGACTTTATGTTGATGATCATGCCCCATTACGCCATTGTCACATGACTAGACAGAAATATATGCAGCTAGCATGTCGGCAGAACATACTGTACCTGCGCGAAACCCGTAATGTATTGTACATAGCATTTCGGCAGAACGTCTCATATAAGGTTGTATTCACTCATATAAGGTTAGCATTTCGACAGTAGTTTCCAAATGTTATGTTGGAAAGAATATCCTCTGCAACAGGCAAATTCGGATGCAACGTTGACCAAAAACCCAACGAAAAACGCGAAAATACGGGGTTCTGCGCAGGCGCAGTACGTTCTGCCGACGTGCTCATGCAGCTAATCATAGGCCCACCAGAGGGTGCTTTTTGGAATGTTCCATCTTAACTATGCTGTTTTAATCTTTAATATATATAGGTGATTCATGACGAAGCAAACAGCTGCGAGCTGATGATGGTTGGAAACACCTTCCTGCACAGGAGTTACGCCATCGGCTTACCACACGGCAGTCCGTACACGGAGCAACTCACCATTAGGTAGGTTACAGTGCACGGGATTTGTACTCACGTGACACTATGACGTAAGTACCATCCGCCATGTTGGATGGTTAAACTTGGAAGTCGCCAGGTATAGATGAATCTGCATATGTTATTAAACAATTACCCCTGCATGGTTGATTACAGACACGTAATACATTTTTATTACAGACACGTAATAAGGAAATTTAGCTTGACTTTTATTTCTGAGAACAAAGTGTTTATTGCCTGCCGGATTTAAACCTTTAAAAGCCCACATTTAGCATTATTGTGAAATGTATTATTTTATGTACGTTTTTCAGCGTTCTAGAGATGAAGGAAAATGGCGAGATTGAGGAACTGACGAAGAAATGGTGGCCTGCGTCCGGGTGTGACCTTCACGGCGGGTCAACCTCCATCAGCAGCGGGGAGGGTCACGTGATCGCCGAGTTCTACGGGATCCTGAGCATCCTGGGAGCGGGGGCGGGCCTCGCTCTGATCGTGGCTGCCTGTGAGATCGCCTGGTTCAACATGGTGGGCGTCTATCAAATCCAGAACTTGCGACATCATATTCCCGATATTCTTATTTTTTATCATCATTAATCATCATCATCGGCTCTTTTTTTCCATGAGCCCCTGTCCTCCAAAATGTTTTCAAATAGATATATCACGTATATTATATGTTTGCCAAGGATGAGGCTCGTGGCTCTTTTTTGTATGTCACGCGTTGCACGTTAACGTTAAAGGACGTATCACACTTATCGAAAAGATTAGGGATCAATCCAGGTGTGAGCGGATCAATTTTTTCAGCTTGGACAAAGCTTGGTGGTTTGTGACTAAAGACAGTTTACTGATCATGCGAAACAAAAGAAAACAAGAATTCTCAGATTTCAAACCTCCGGGAAGTTTGCGATTCATAATATTTACAATCATTAACTACTGGTAATCTTAGGCATCTTAAGAGCATGTTTCAAGTATTACAAACGATTAAACACGACAAAAAACACAATCATCCCGCAGAAGGATATCTCCTTCCCTGGAGGTAACAAAACGAGTTTAACCTTTTTGACCATCCTCGTGCCTCGTTTTTACCACAGAGTATGCGGAAGAAGAAAGTGACTCCCACCAACAATGAGACCCAGGAGGAGATGATCAGAAGGGTTGTGAGGCAGTGTCTCAGGGAAAACAAGATGGAGGAGTACAACTTGGAGGACAAGATAGATACATGAGAAGTTAGAGTCATCAAAGAAAGTTCATCTGAGTTGGTAAAATACATCTGATTCATGAGAAACTGCTCGTAATCAATTCTTCAATCTTGCCATTTTCCTTCATCTCACGAAGGCTGGTCAGAAACGTTCTCTCTCGCATATGAAGCGATAGTTACTTTCACGTATATTTGTAAGGTTAGCTACATCCAAGCCCCGATCAACGTACAAGGTACACGGTCTCTGGCTCAACGTTGCCGCGTAACGAAGCGAAAGTGTTATCTTTGCGATTTTACAATTTACAAAAAGTAGTCAAGACCTGACTTCATGTTTATCAAGATCTCCACATATCAGAGAGTGCAACTATGCTGCTATCAGGAGAGAAAATATTTTAACGTGTATACTTTAACACGGGATTAGAGGTGGAAAGAAATATCAATATGTGATTTGCTGTATTTGAATTTTTCTTTATGTAAATAAGAAAGCGAGATTTCTTGCGCTGTATATAGTCTTAACGATTAACTTTAAGCAATTGGTTCTTTACTTTGTTGCTATTTGAAGTTTATTTCTACATCGTTTGTTTTTACTTAAGTGACGCTAGCATGATTTTTCGTCATTGAAGAGCCATTTTCAATGGCAAACGTTCATTGAGGGTACGAAAGCCATTTATTTCCGAGATATGTATATTCCAGAAATTTATGTTCATTCCACTATCTACAGACGTTCCAGATACATTCTTTTTCATCTCCAATCAGATCTTTTGATGGCCGCAAAGACAGCATACCAAATTGGTAAGGCAGTATCCATTTGCTAGACAGTATCAATTGGCCACCATACTGCCTGGCCAATTAGATAATGTCTTTGCGGCTACCGAAAGATCTGCTTGGAAATTCCATACTCGTATCACAAGTGTCATTGTTAAGGAGGTTCCGTCTGTTATGTTAATGTTTGTTATGAAGTTCTACATTTTCATACCAATAAAAAGATTACTTCAATGTCGCCGCATTTCTCTTTGTTTTCTATCTCACTCTCCGTTGTAACAGTTTATCATATCTTACGTAGGGAACCGCCTTGATGAGAGGATACTTGCAATCGAATGCACAGACACATTAGACATAAGGCAAGTGGGAAATTTAGTCCATGGCCCTGACATTATAATTACAACGTCAATTGGTCATCACAATCTACTTACACGGGCACTGAATGTTTAATATAATATTTAGAAGCTGCGCATTAAACTCTTTTAACAACGTGTCCATAAACCTTTCCAATGTCGTTTGAATGAGACGATTTTCCATCATCATGGTATACCAATATATTGAGCAATATCGATATTGATTCGTTTACTATAAGGATTCTATACGTTTATCAGTCTGTCTATCTAAATTGACGTTGTCAGAAATCCATGCTCACAAGTTTATTTGTAGGGAGTACATGGAGAACGTTTTCACCAGTGAGAACATAGATACATGGTTTTGAACTTCAGAATAAGTTACAGATTCCTGCGTGTGTCTTTCTAATTGTAAATCAACTCCAAGTGACCGGTGCAATAAGGATAGGCAGTTCCACGGTCTGCTGTGTCTTCCAGAAGGCCTGGAGCCCTTGTCACATATTATTAAGTCGTACGATCGCCGTACCACATCACAAACTGATTTTTTTTTTATTTCGGATAGTCGACGTGTATTTGTCGTACAAAGACTAACTGTCCTGTTGGAGAGACTGACAAGACTGAAAAGGTTGTTGTTGTTTGTTTCTGTGTCACAGCTTGCACGAAATCTCGAAATTTACGACATCAAAATCGTACGATGTCCTTACGACGAATGTAACTGCGCAAGTTAAATCACTGGCGGTCAAAACTCAGGCAATGTTCTTCGCCAATGTGAACTTGGACAGCTCGGCGTCGAAAACGTAGACGTCATCCTGTTCAGTCCTGTCACAGGAGCACAGCACAGCAGTGATGATAGACCCGACAAGCAACACGCCGATACCGGTTATGATGGGGGAGGGGGGCGTCCGGTCGCCCACATCCATGCCCCGCTTCACGTACAAGGTGCACGGTCTCTGACTTAGCGTTGCCGTGTAACACAGCCCCGAGCGTTGGGTACAATTCCTCCCCGTTAGAGCCACGTTCACGCTGAAGGTAAAGTCTCTCAGCCCGAACACGTGGCAGTCGAGCTTGTATCCTGTGATGTTGATACGGTTCGGCACGGGCCGTTCTAAGCAGGCAGATATTCTGGTGTCTGAGGACTCCAGTTCTTCCGCCTTTTGCGCGAGTTTTCGCACGATGCACTTCCCGACGTCGTAGAAATCCTCGCAGTCGCAAATCGCCTCCTTGGCGATGAAAAAACACGAGGCGTTCACCACGCAGGTCTGAAACTCCAGGTCGTGATTGGTCAGTAGGGTCCCGATACCCGTGACGTCACCAGAGACACCGTTGCTGATTGGTCCTGAGTTCCTTTCGTTGTACTGCCCACCTGCGGCGAATTCGAACAAATCCAAAATGGCGGCTATAGTTATTGCCGTGAACCACATTGTGGAAAAAGGTTGGGCTGGCATCTTTGTATGTTCAGGCTTTATCACACCACGAAGAACCAGCTTCTAGTCGACTTCCACAAATCTGAAGAAGGATAAAGAGACATAGTCATTGCTATACTCTTTGAATAAAGTTGTCACAGACTTGATAATATTGCACACGGAACATAAGATAATTATGAACTGAATCTTACAGAACGACATTCGTACTTCTTGATTACACTCGAAAATTATAGTTAGTTGTTTCCTACTCTTCCATAAATCCATAAATACTAGTAGGTAGCTAAGAAAAGGTTTATATGTCCCAAGAAAGCAATGGAGGTACGAAAACCACGGAATCACGGAATTAGTTTTCCGAACTCAACGACCAGCTCAAGATCAATAAGTGCAAAGCAGTGCCTCTGGATTGGTCAAATCCAATTCGTCTGATGTAGTAGAACTACTTGAAGGTCGTGAAATCCCTTCCAAGGTCGCGCGACACTTTGATGAAATGTCCGTGTGCGCCGCTGAAATCACGTCGCCTCTGCCTTCATCTCAACAAACGTGAAAAAGATGAGCCGCTATCTTAGGTGTTCATTACCAACATGGTGCCATGCAGCCTATCCAGTGATCTAGCCTGCGGACCATTTTCTATGGGCGGCCGGCTGAGGACTTTTTTCTGACAGCATTTTAGTACCAGCCTATCTTTCCATTCGGCCTTTCTGATTACTGCTTCGTAGGTGAAGTAATTGAAACCGAGCATTAAGGAAAAATACTGTCACACACAAACTGACTCAGTAATTCCTTCCTTAAATCACCTGGCACATAACAACATTCGTGATAAATACACTCCTGTAGAGCTGTGTACCGGTACGCAGTACCGATACTGTACCGGAAAAATTGATTAGGTACAGGTCCAAAATACCTAATCCCTCAGTACCGGTACTGTACCTAAACAATTTCACACCAATTCTATGCCTATTTGTGACCTCAAATGTTTAAATAGCTGGTTAACAATGGGTGCCTGTGTAAGGACAGTGTGTTCATGAAAACAAAAACATCTTAGTTTTGCATAGTTAAAGAGTTTGACTTGTTCCAACACAATAAGGAGAACTCACCATAAATTTTCGGCTGATCCCGTCAACCTTCGTCAGATTTGTGATGCAATCGCTGACTTTCCGGAAGTCGGAAACGTGATGACGTCAGGAGTGCATCAAAAGTGGCGGGAAGACGGTATCTCCCACCATCACGGTTCAGAGAGGGTGGTGGGCCCTGATGTAAACTGCCTCCCT